CGTGCTATGTAGCCTTACCCCAAGGGCAGATTTAATCCTTACGCGTGCAGCTCGCTTGTTTACCGGGGGTGTGGCTCCAAATTGGACAACGGCGCAATTATTTACATTTCGGACCGGCGGCCCTAATACAGCTACATGTTATTACGCGGGCCGCCCGCTGCGCGCGCTGTTTGTACGCTTTTCAGCCGCGTATTATTTTCTGTTTGTAAAAAAACTATCAAAGCAACTGGTATCGAATGAGCCCGCGGGGGTCGGTGTTGTAGTTTTGTAATGTTATGACGAGTGTGGCATCTGTTGGGTGCTCGCATCTGCCTCGGGAATTGAGGAGTTGGTACTCAATGTTTGATAGTTTAGTTGTTGAATTTTTATCGGAGGTCAAGGTGTTCAATGAGTTGCATAAATAATATTTGCACAAAATAAATTGTAGTTGTATACATGTTCATACAAACAAAGTTAGTCCTTAAGGAATTTTACAATTTTATGTCCATGTTTATGGCTGTTTATTAATTTGCAAAGCTGCAATTGAAAAACAGTATTATGTTGTAAATAGAAATTGTTTTCTTTATGTAAATAATGAGACTGTAAACTAAAAGTACAAGTAGAACCTTGAATTGTTTTTTTTTTCTGGATGTAAAACGAGTAGACGCCCAGATAAGTAGTTGAGTGATCGTCATGAGATCTTGATAGCCAATATAGAGGCGGTGACCGACAAATCTAGTTAGATGTTGACCCACACGAAGTAGAGCTATTGACCTTATAACTCATTCAGGCTCGTTGAGAAAAATAGAATATATTGGGTTGCCCTCTGAACAAGTAGAGTCAACTGAGTCTTGGACGGGAACAGACTGTCCAACCCTCCGGGATAAAAATTACCGACGTGATTCGAACAATTCACCAGATTAATCTGGGATAAATCTTTTTAACAACGTGGTTTATGGACACAGACTGATTTAGTTAATTTTTAAATGCCCGAGTTATAATTGGTTATTCAATTTTATTGTTTATTGGGGGTAGCAGCTTCCATAACTTGTGTTTTGTTAGTTTTATGAACAAATCCTTCAATAATATGAAACCTTCAGTTCCACTAACTTGTGTTTTGTCCACAGAATTTATGTCGAAAATCGTATCCTTTATAATGATATGACCGACTTTATCTAAATCAACGTAAGTATTGTTCTGTACTTTCCTTTAAGTTTAAACTGTCACACATTGAATCACAAGTTATTAATATTATCAAGAACTTGTGCTGTAAGAAAAAGAAAATATAGAAATTTGACAAATACTCTGAAAGAAAATAAATAATTAAATAGCAAAAAGAACGAGATTTCATCAAAATATATCAATAATTGATCGCGCTTTAAGTTTTTCAACTTTTTTTCGATACATATTTATTATAGTACCGGTTCTGAACTTATAAGCTAGTAAAAATATAAGTTTGTTCATTTTCATTTCATTTATTCATAGAGTTAATACACATTATACTACATATAGATACTGTACTCAATATTTCAGGTGCTTTACTAAAACCAAACCTCTTTCAAAAGCTTTAGAAATATTTAAAATTTGTGTTTAAGCAATGAATACATCTGTATTCATTGGTTTAAGTAAAAATTATCAGTTTACGCCCTATAAAAATGTTTCCTTAAAAGCAATAATTTTTCATTGGGACAAAAGGATTTTTGGATACACATTGTATCCCTGGATTTTTATTAATTAAGATTGAGTTCATTGCACAGTCGCAGCTAAAGCGTTGCTTGTGTCATATATGTACAGTTCAGAAAATAACGCGCGTTTTACAATAGTTAAATTATTATATAGTCCGCTACAGTTCTGACATAGAATAAATGTAAATACAGTACATTTAGACAAGCCTTTGCAACATACTAAAACAAATAATTAACTGCCTGATGAGCTTAGTACGTGTTTACCTGAAAGTACTAAAAATACGTCACGTGGAGTATTTTTTGTACGTATAGGTAAAACAGACAAAAAACCAAATTCGTTTTCAGAGAAGAATATCAAAGTCTGAAAAGGGGAAAAGTTGAGTTGTGGCGAAGAGAGGTTATGTCAAAATGTACATCAATAATTGTCCCCTTGTCTGAGATATAAAAATGTCGCGAGCCGAGTCAGCAACCCGCAAATTGACGCCCCGTGTTTATAAAACTGTTGTAATTGACGTGCGATGACGACGCACTCTGTCAGCTGTTCCGACAACTAGACACCACTGCCTTCATAATTACGTTTTCATTTCTTTACTCTGTTTCGACCCTTGCTATAACAAATGCCAATGGGATTTATTCCATAATTTCAATCCTTTTATATATATTTGTATGATGAAGTTCAGCAAATCTTTTGGCGTAATAAATTTTGAGTATTTTATTACTAGGCATACCCAATAATAATTTAAACACGTAATTTCATTATTGTTTTTGATTATACATGATAAGATCGTTGTTATGTCCTTGAGTTAAAATGTTACTGTACAACTTTAAAATTATTTGTTTTGACAATGAAGTATTATTTATTTGATAGTAAAATTATTATTCTGATAATTAATTTATAGTTTGCACATTACTATGTTGCAGAATAATTGTAAATGTATGTTGAAGTGAACGATCTTTAACTAAAAGCATATAGATAAAACAATCTCCCTTCTTAACATAGTCTACTCCTGTGTTGGTTAGGCCTACCGCACACGAGAGACTTTTTGTCGGCCGACTATTTAGTCGTAGTCGGGAGTCAAAGTCGGCCCCATAGTGGTAAATCTGAGCGCGCACACGGGCCGACCGCAGCAAGACAGTCGGCAGACTGTCTGCAGACAGTCGGGGCAGTTTGGTGCTGACCGATTTTCTCGCCGACTGCTCCCCGACTCAACTGTCGTGTCTTATTGATAAAGGCATGGAGATAAGTTAGAACGCGCACACAGACGACTAAAAAGTCTGCCAGTCTGACAGTCGAGTGCGTTGTTATCATGTATATTACTATTGTTATTATGATTATTATTTAATTTGTGTGTTATTGTTATTATTAAGGCTTCGACAACCACCAGTGCAAGTGTTTTGTGTGCGCTGCAGCAAACCTGCAGACTAAATGAATTCCTATTTGCCTGATTTAGTTTTGTATTTAATCTATTTCAATAAAATTAGGATAAACGAGTACCTAGGTTTGCTGCTACAGGGAGGGTATTCAGGGTGTGTTTTAGTAAAACATTAATAGCTGAGTATAAAAAAATAGATTTGCCAAGTTTAATCAAAATACATCCATAAACAAGCAAACTACAACAGTTTACTTGTTCTACATATAAATGACATGAAAATTTTAACTTCAAATATTTTGGAATTCCCCTTTAACCATTATGATAACAATTAAAATGCTAAATTATTTGTTTTTTAAGCTCTGCAAAATGTTTTCTAAAGAAATTACGGAATCTTTTGTTTTTATCGTTAAAAAAATGTGAAACCCCCATTTTTACCCGATAAAACCCCCCATAAACCCCCGTTCCCATAGTCCGATCATGCTGGTTTGCGAACTCCTTCGAATAAAATAGATGTAGGTTTACTCGTTTGTACCAAATTTCAAATCGGATAATTTTTTTTCGAGTTAACGTGCTAACGGACAAATATATATGCGTGTGTGTGAATTTGAACGGATGGTGTTTTTGGCCTCTGGGGACATCAAAACGAAAAGGTAAATCGGTCACGGGACCAGGTCTCACCATGAGACCTACGGTTACAGCTTATTCCCTAAAAGTTATGGGATGAGGTATTTGAAGCCAGGGTATTAACAATTGGTCAAAAAAATCAACACTCATTCATGAGTACATGAAAAATTTGTCCAGATATTTCCTCAAATCCGAGTTTAGAGGTAAATCTGGCCTTTTAAGGTTCTCGGACTATAAATTGGATGCACCCAGTATTTTCTCTTAAGTTTTCTTGCACGAAATCTTATCAGTAACGCACATATGACAGCGGTTTCTGTCATATACATCCTTTTGACACACGAAAGACGACTAAACAGTCGTGTCGTGTGCGCACCCATAGTCAACGACCAAACAGTCTTGACGACTTTTCGATTGTTCACCCGACTCCAGCCAGACAGATGGCCAACAGTCGGCCGACAAAAAGTCTCTCGTGTGCGGTAGGCCTTAGTGTTAGTCTATGCTTGTGCATTTCTAAATACTGTATTAGTAAAAAATCGCTGCATACAGTTGCAAGTTAATATTCGAATCAATATTCTTACATCATTTTGATATGTTTTAATGTAGAAAATTATAAAAAAAATAGTTAGGGCAAAATAAAAGTTGTACGATTTATTTGTTCGTGCAAAAAGTTCTTCATCCAAATTTAAAAATAATTCTGATTCGAAGAATTCGAGTTTTATGACGAACTCGTTATCATATGAGCTTGGATAATATCAGTGTTGTGTAGATTCAACGCAAGTTTAAAATGTATAAAAAAGTATTTGTATGGTTGTAAATGTTCAGTATGATTTGGCTCGCAGGATACGCTTCCCTAGGTCTGGGGGCAACATCGGTCAGTATCTGTTTCTGCTGACTTATTTATCCACATCCGCTATGGTGTAGCTTCTGTGGAGTATGTAAATAAAGAACATAACCTATGACCGTACAAGTTGTATGACCTACAAACAGAACAGATTTAATTGTTAGTTTTGATGTCATCAGAGAGCGAAAAACTATCCGGTCAAATTAACATTACAATTTAAATGTGTATTTTAATAGACCAAATATATATTATTTTTATCTACTAAAACCATATCTCTTGATTCTTGAGTAAAAATCATATATTTTGTTAAAACACAATCAGGCAAATGGAAATTTTTTAAATCTGCTCGGTTTTCTGTGGTGGACGTATTTCTTAATATTTTTATGTTTACAAGAAACACTCTTTAACTTGTATTTCAGTCCAGTATAAAGCCACTAGATTAAACAGAATTCGTTTAGAAGTTATTAAGTGCATATGAATCGCTTAAAAAGTAAAATAATGATTGAAAATAAATATAAGCGAAATCAAGAACATGCATGTATTTTCTACATTCCATTCTTATTCTTCAAAACCGCGCCATCACTTCCCCCATCCTCCTCCTTCAGGCATCATCCCTCTCGTCCTCGCATCTCCTTCAACACCTCGCCATCACTTCCCTCATACACCTTCTTCAGGCATCATCCCTCTAGTCCTCGCATCTCCTTCAACACCTCGCCATCACTTCCCTCATTCACCTTCTTCAGGCATCATCCCTCTCGTGCTCGCATCTCCTTCAACACCTCGCCATCACTTCCCTCATTCACCTTCTTCAGGCATCATCCCTCTCGTGCTCGCATCTCCTTCAACACCTCGCCATCACTTCCCTCATTCACCTTCTTCAGGCATCATCCCTCTTGTCCTCGCATCTCTTTCAACACCTCGCCATCACTTCCCTCATACACCTTCTTCAGGCATCATCCCTCTAGTCCTCGCATCTCCTTCAACACCTCGCCATCACTTCCCTCATTCACCTTCTTCAGGCATCATCCCTCTTGTCCTCGCATCTCTTTCAACACCTCGCCATCACTTCCCTCATACACCTTCATCCCTCTAGTCCTCGCATCTCCTTCAACACCTCGCTATCACTTCCCTCATACACCTTCTTCAGACATCATCCCTCTCGTCCTCGCATCTCCTTCAACACCTTTCCATCACTTCCCCCATCCACCTTCTTCAGACATCATCCGTCTCATCCTCGCATCTCCTTCGTGACCTTCCATCACTTCCCTCATACACCTTCTTCAAACATCATCCCTCTCGTCCTCGCATCTCCTTCAACACCTTTCCATCACTTCCCCCATCCACCTTCTTCAGACATCATCCGTCTCATCCTCGCATCTCCTTCGACACCTCGCCATCACTTCCCTCATACACCTTCTTCAGACATCATCCCTCTCGTCCTCGCATCTCCTTCAACACCTCGCCATCACTTCCCTCATACACCTTCTTCAGACATCATCCCTCTAGTCCTCGCATCTCCTTCAACACCTCGCCATCACTTCTCTCATTCACCTTCTTCAGGCATCATCCCTCTCGTGCTTGCATCTCCTTCAACACCTCGCCATCACTTCCCTCATTCACCTTCTTCAGGCATCATCCCTCTCGTGCTCGCATCTCCTTCAACACCTCGCCATCACTTCCCTCATTCACCTTCTTCAGGCATCATCCCTCTTGTCCTCGCATCTCTTTCAACACCTCGCCATCACTTCCCTCATACACCTTCTTCAGGCATCATCCCTCTAGTCCTCGCATCTCCTTCAACACCTCGCCATCACTTCCCTCATTCACCTTCTTCAGGCATCATCCCTCTTGTCCTCGCATCTCTTTCAACACCTCGCCATCACTTCCCTCATACACCTTCATCCCTCTAGTCCTCGCATCTCCTTCAACACCTCGCTATCACTTCCCTCATACACCTTCTTCAGACATCATCCCTCTCGTCCTCGCATCTCCTTCAACACCTTTCCATCACTTCCCCCATCCACCTTCTTCAGACATCATCCGTCTCTTCCTCGCATCTCCTTCGACACCTCGCCATCACTTCCCTCATACACCTTCTTCAGACATCATCCCTCTCGTCCTCGCATCTCCTTCAACACCTTTCCATCACTTCCCCCATCCACCTTCTTCAGACATCATCCCTCTCGTGCTCGCATCTCCTTCAACACCTCACCATCACTTCCCTCATACACCTTCTTCAGGCATCATCCGTCTCATCCTCGCATCTCCTTCAACACCTCGGCCATCACTTCCCTCATACACCTTCTTCAGGCATCATCCCTCTCGTCCTCGCATCTCCTTCAACACCTCGGCCATCACTTCCCTCATACACCTTCTTCAGGCATCATCCCTCTCGTCCTCGCATCTCCTTCAACACCTCGGCCATCACTTCCCTCATACACCTTCTTCAGGCATCATCCCTCTCGTCCTCGCATCTCCTTCAACACCTCGGCCATCACTTCCCTCATACACCTTCTTCAGGCATCATCCCTCTCGTCCTCGCATCTCCTTCAACACCTCGGCCATCACTTCCCTCATACACCTTCTTCAGGCATCATCCCTCTCGTCCTCGCATCTCCTTCAACACCTCGGCCATCACTTCCCTCATACACCTTCTTCAGGCATCATCCCTCTCGTCCTCGCATCTCCTTCAACACCTCGGCCATCACTTCCCTCATACACCTTCTTCAGGCATCATCCCTCTCGTCCTCGCATCTCCTTCAACACCTCGGCCATCACTTCCCTCATACACCTTCTTCAGGCATCATCCCTCTCGTCCTCGCATCTCCTTCAACACCTCGCCACCACTTCCCTCATACACCTTCTTCAGGCATCATCCCTCTCGTCCTTGCATCTCTTTCAACACCTCGCCATCACTTCCCCCATCCACCTTCTTCAGGCATCATCCGTCTCATCCTCGCATCTCCTTCAACACCTTGCCATCACTTCCCCATCCGCCTCCTTCAGGCATCATCCCTCTCGTCCTAGCATCTCCTTCAACACCTTGCTATCACTTTCCCCATCCGCCTCCTTCAGATATAATCTCTCTCGTCCTTCCATCTCCCTCAACACGTCCAATTCAAACTTCTTCTGTACCTAGTTTTCTTTAAAACGTCTTTCAAATACTTCTCCTCAACTCAATCCTTGGGTAGAGAGGTCGGGGACCTTCCTTGTTCCTTTTCTCTTCCCTCTTCTACTGCTTACTGCTGTTTACTGCTTAGAGGAAGTATACCATAGCTCCAACAGTCAAAATGTTAGCAATCAGATACGGAATAAGACCTCTCACATAGCTTCCATTAAAAAATTGGCAAATAATATCAACTAGTGAACCTGTGCGGCTCAATGCCCCGCAAAAACATATGAATTTAGAAAACAAATTCATTGTGTTATATATTGACTGATTGACTCGACGTCGAAAATTAAATAGGCCTACAGTAATAATAAAACCCTAGAAGGGAAGCAGTCCAGCCATTTTCTAGCTGTATGCATATTATATTTAGTAGGCTAAATTAATAAGTGTTCAAGTTCAAGTATGTTAGCGGGTAGTTATTCTTTTTAGATTTAAAAAACACGTTTAACAAAACATTTGATCATATCAAACCAATAGGCTTATGTAGCATATTTTGAGGGTCATTAAAATGCTGCCTGAAGAAAACACTTAAAAAAAAAACACTAAAAAACAATATTTTTATCACAAAAGCACTTTCATGAATACTACAATTTTAGTCTTAAAGTTACCTTCAGGAATATTACCCTGGTCAGAATTTTCCGTAATGAATATGCTTATCCTATTAAAAGATGTAGCCTTACTTAAAACAACATATATATAGTTGCTCATGACTGAAATTGGTCTGGCTAAGAAGAGTGCTGCTCTTTAATTAAAGTGCTTGTGCTGCAAATCCCAAAGATAACAGAAATTTGCATCTTTCCATTTTAAAAGGTAAGTTTCTTTCAGACAGGCAAATTTTTATCCTCGAAATCAAAATATGTCCCTACTCACTTGTTCCAGTTATGACTTTACATTCTACTTTACATTGTTGTTAACCGTTCTGATCACATGAAGCCCTGTGCCAATAATGAGGCCCTTTCCTATTAATATCAATAAAACCACTGCCCCCTTTTATTAGTATGATCTGTGTCTTGGCAATCTACTGACCTCTACATTTAAAAACTCAGTTGGTTTTTATAGATGGGTGTCTCCGCTTTCGACTGTTTTCGAGGACCCACTCTTCTTCCCCTTGGCATACTGACAATTAATTACCTAACTTGTAAAGTTCATGTAGTAATTCATTAATACTGTTAGTTTATACAGAAAATTAGATAAAAGTTACTTGGCTTGTTGCTTTCATAACTGCAAACTCAAAATACACCCACAAGTAAAAAAGAATCAAGTTATTGGTAAAAAAAACTATGTTTGTGTAAAAACATTATTCATATGAAGTAGATGATTTGTTTGATTTCTCGATCAGCTGTTTCGTTTCTAATGAATTGAAAATGTCAAAGATTTGTGATTTTAAATACATAAATTATTATAGTAAAGTTTTCTAAATCATAGTAACTTACTCTCAACTATATTTTACTATTCCCAGCATTAAAATAAAGTAGTGAGATCCATTATGAGTAAACTTTAAGGTACTTAATCCTTGATTGAAATGTAGTATACATTAACAGTCATAATACACAGCAATTATTATGTAGTAGACTATGACTATTTTCAAGTAACAAACATATGTTTATGTAAATAAAAATATCTCCCATGTTATCCTTATGGAGAAATACGAAACTTTAAAGGGCCCCAGGGCCTCGCTGTCTAATTATTTCCCTAAAAAGAAAGTTTCCTGCACAACTTCACGTTACGCTCTTTCCAATGAGACCAAAAACATGTCAATCGGGTCAGTAGTTTCGGAGGAGTAATTGTCACAAAAAACGTGCTTGCGTATTAAATAAGTAAATAGATAAGTATAGATAATCATGATGAAGTAAATATGTGTCACAGTCAGCCAACAATTTAGTTTTGATAAAATGATCGTCGTAACTATGGTAATATTGTCTTTGGTATTATTTTTGTGAATGTTGTTATTAATTACCTTAATTTACCCACACTTGATAAGATCGACTGCTGTTTATTCAAGTCCAGATATGGAACTAATATATAAACGATTTAAAAATAAAAGGCCTAATATTAAAATTAAATATCATCCTACCACATAGTAAAAAATAACCCCTCATTTCATGGTATAATATAGATAGTCTAACATTAGAATACACGTTTTTACTAAGAAAAATAGTAAACAAACAACAATAATAAAACCCTAAATAAAAAATGACGCACCTTCAATATTTCAAATTTGATAATACCACCGTTTAAAATTGAGCTACTTGCCCTAAAAAGGGTGTATCAGATATTGTTCCAGGAAGTTTCTCAACAAGAACTTTAATTCAAGTATGTGGTTAATAAATGTGCGTAATTTTCTCAAAGGTTCGTGATCCTCATTGGCTTTATATTATACATGTATATTAATATATAGATAATTTAAGGAATATAATACGGAAATCTATTTTAAATAAATCATTTGATATTTTATACATCAAAAAATAATATCAATATTTTATAAAAATTACCATGCAGATGCAAAGAAAGGTAATGAAAAAATATGAGTTAGTTTTACATTATAAAAATAAATGCTACGTTGTTCTTTACGACACGTAGATTTTAGTTAATTATCCTTTGCACGAATTATAAACGGTCTTGCAACTTGGGAAACTCAATTTATTAAATTATAACCAGAAAGGTTTGATAAGGCCTTGAAACCACCTTGTATCCGCAGACATTATATTTAGTCGGACCTTCACGTAGCCACACTGTCTGCTGCAGAATCCTCAACTCCAAATACTCAATTTTTATTATTATAATTTCTATATTTTTTAATATTTTGGAACATATACTTTTAACTGTATATATTAAGTTTGAATAGTTTTTTGAACACATCAAGTTCTGGATTTTATGTTTTGTGTAAGCATTGGGCCTACACATAATAATAAATTTATATAACAACTTAACTCGTATAATATCTTCTAAATCATGTCTCAAACTCAAGAAGGTGTATTTTATTAATTAGATTGTCAAGATTGTTTGGACACTCAAATGTAACCAGTCGTGAGCCGCAGTCGCGCATCAATTACATACTTTAGATTCTCTACTTTCAGCGACCACGTTTATTTCTGTTAAACATCTGTATAGAACGATCTACATTTCTTGTGTATAACTCTTAAAAGATCAAAATATTCTCGTTCAATCTACTTCTTATGTAAACCTCTACTCGATTAATTCGAGGTTTACCTGGTATGACTCCCATTTATCAACCAGTTAAATACACAGCATTAGTGGATCACTTACTAATGGCTGGTAATAATATGGGTAATAGCTACCTGCTCACCTGTTGGGCATCTTGCAAAATATCAGCTGATTTTTCATTTAAACCTCCTCCAGCTGACACATAGTAAATCAGTCATGTCAGCATAATCATGAAGGCACTGGTCAAGGATTTCAATGTGTATTCATAAAGGCTGTAATCGTGCATGATAAGATCCGTGAGATAAATCTTATATTATTATAACGTATTATTTTAGGATAATAGTGTAGGCCTATTTTGCCCAAATTTTGAAAATGTTTTTATTTCTTACTAACTATTAAGATTTTACATAAAAAACACTTTAACCCTCCCTGTTGCAGCAAACCTAAGTATGTGTTAAACTGATTCTATTTAAATCTATATCTATAAAAGAGGAACTATGTATGTATGTGTGTGTGTGTGTATATACGTTATGGACTCCGAAACCGCTCGACAGATTGTAATGAAACTTTCAGGCATTGTTAAGCATCTTTCAAGGATGGTTCGAGTGAAGTTTGGTGCAGATCCGTCAAAAGGGCCTTCAAGGGGGGTCAAAAAGTTACTTTCACCAACTGTGTTTTGTAGGTTTGAATAATCACAACATTCTGTATTAGCATTAGTCGTGATTTGAAATAGTGCCACAGTGTTTCTACAGAGTGCATCACAGAAAACTATTTTACTTTTTAATAAGTCCAAATGTATTAAACCCCAATCGCAGCACACCTGTGCACTGAACAACGTTTAAATTCTCCAATGTTAAATATTAAAACATAAAAACCTTTATCAAAGTATTATAAACAATTAAAGGGATGACTTTTTTAAATTTATGACAACAGCTAATTTGCAACCAATAGGTGAGTGAGCGTAGCGAACGAACATCAACCTGGAGGCGAGTAAGCGTAGCGAACGAGCTAACCTGAAAACAAGTGAGCGCAGCGAACGATTTCCAACCTGAAGGTGAGTGAGCGTAGCGAACGAACTTCAACTAGGAAGTGATTGAGCCATGCGAATACTTATGAAGTTAAGCGGGGCAAAGCCCGCGGGTACAGCTAGTAGGGAATAAAAGTGATATTTTTAAGGAGACATTTTAGTGTAAATCCAATCAGGCAAATGGAAACTCGCTTAGTCTGCAGGTTTGATGCGGCGGGGTATTAAATATGAAAAATCATAAGGTTAATATAAGAAACTCCAGAGCCACTGGGGCGGAGCCCGAAAGCCCGATCAGAATAAAAACTACTTAGTTTTCCTATTTAATGCCCAAAGAATCGGTGTACCGAATTTAAGCCTCTTAGGTAAATGGGAAGTGGGAGAACAGTGAGGTCTTTGCCTTTTATATATACACGTATATACGTACGTGTATACTCAATGTTATTAGGTTTGCTTCGGTTTGCTTATTAATCAGCTGTCCATGTGGTAATGTTAGTAAACACTGACAGTTTAAAAACACACGACAAAAACAGATACAAATTCAACAATTTTGGTTAGTGTTCTTGTACAGTATTAGAACTTTAAATCATTAAGCAATCTAAATTTATAATTAAACATTGTTTAGTTTGAAACTACTATGAAATTCAACAGTGCTTATAATATAACCGTTTAATCTTCGCAAAGTTATCTTGTGAGGACTCTGGTTTTTTTTAACCTTCAATGAGATTTGACGATTTTGAAGAACAGGTTCATAAAAGAAACGATGAAATCGACCACTGATGAATTTCGTAATTTAAACCTTGACAAACTTACAAAACGTGAACTAAAGGTAAGGCTTAATTATACAATCACATAATTTATAATTTTAATTTGAACGTGGTAATTAGAATACTGAGCATTTCCATAGATAAAACATACTCTCGTATTACTAAACTTATCGGTTACCAGTTAAATTTTGTTCATCCGTAGTTATAAAGAAAAGAACATTCTAAAAGAAATTATATAAACCTTGGAAAATTTAACACAACTCGTTTAAGTGTGGAACTTATTTGATATTTGAGATAATTATGTAGTCTATGTTATGGAAATAGTTTCTTTACATTATGTGGTAGCCTTTTGATTATGGAATTTCACAAATGGTAGCTGGTTGACGAGCCAGATAGTACAGTAAATACAAAGTTTTTTGTTCAAATTCACATTGTAAACTACAACTTTACTTACAGTCTAATGAAGAAATTTCGAAACACACAATTGAAGGCTATTTGGAAACTAGATCTGTTGATAGAGCTATGCACTTGTTAACGTAAGTTTATATTTTAATACACATAGCCTATAGTATTTACAGTAAACAGTCGTTAGAATTGATGACATTTTATATTCACATTAGTTCAAATTCAATAGTCAATAATCATCCAATTCTGAAATCTAAGGTACCGCAAATTATCACAAATTTACAAGACACGACATCTCACCATCGATATATATACCGGGTGTTCAAAAAGTCTGGACACCTCTTTTTTACCAAATTGGTTAGAAAATGCAAACTTTGCATAACTAACTACATATGCGTAAAAACTAATTTTTACTAGCATTGTTATTTTTTACCTCCACGGGGGACGGCTCATGAGGGGTACCGGTAAGTATAAAATATTTAACGTAAGCATAGGTTGATATGCACATCATTTCAAAGGGTTGGTTAAGTGAAATTCAATGCCGGAAACCGCGTTTCCACCCGAGACCTAAGACGATCGCACGCCAAGACTCAGATGCGACGTTGCCAGTTTTCACTCGCCGCGGCCTTGTGTACTAGATTTATTGAATGATTTATTGTCGTTAAAACTAGGTAAAAAGTTCATGACAATCGTAAAAAGAAAAACAAAACAATCAAGATGGCTCTGGTATTAAAACTAAAATAACTAAAACTCTGAACCAAAAAGTACTCTTAATGCTTGTACGTACAGACAAGCCTGGGTTAGAGTGGTTTTAAAGACATGTTTGAATTTTAAAATACCAAGTTTTTGATGGAGGCAGGCAAGAAAGTGTACATTTTAACACCTTGGTACTCTAAACTACTTTAAGAAGGCTATGGTGGCACCCATTCACCATCTTGCAAGGTAGCGGGTTGTCCCCTCTCATTGAAACACCAAGTTGGCGTGTTGTTGCACGGCCACCTTATTTAACTCCAAGCCGCGGCCTGGTAGAATTGGTAATGTCGCAAGTAGGGTTGTTTAGTGTCAGACGTCCCATATGATAATATTTTGTGGTGACATCAGCTCATTAATTCGCACTTTATTCATTTAAATTTAAATTTATGAAATTAAACAAACAGAATTGAAAACCAAAACAATCTGAATTGAAAATCTACATACATTTAAAGTGAAGTCAATATTTTCATAGTCCAGTAACCAAGCTTTCGTAAATATACAAATGCCATTAGCTGCTTCCAAACAAAACACCTGTTACAACCCTACTACTTGCGACGTTGCCACTTCGAAGGCCGCAGCCTGGAGTTAAAGGCGGCCGTGGTTGTTGTTGCTTGTGGTGGCACCTTGCCCCTTGACGGTGACCTCTTTGCTCGATAACGGCCACATTTAACTCCAGGCAGGGGCCTTCGAAGCGGCGTCGTCGTAAGTAGGGTTGAAACAGCTGTTTTGTTTTAAAGAAGCTAATGGTATTTTTGTATTTACAAAGGCTTGGTTACAGGACTATTAAAATATTGACTCCGCTTCAAATGTACAGATATAGGTTTTCAATTCATATTTTTTGGTTTTTAATTCTGTATGTTTTATTTTCAATATTTTCATAATCAATAAAGTGCGAATTAATGAGCTGATAGTCACCTGTCTGCCATGTTATCTTATGGGACGTATGACACTAAACAACCCTATACTTGCGACGTTGCCAATTCTACCGTGGCCTGTAGTTAAAAGTGGCCGTGGCTCGATACGTCCCACCATTGATTTTGTGCTCTAAGTTAACAAAAGAGAAATCATCTAAATGGATTAGCTGTAGCCATTAAAACAATCCAAAATAGAACATACCATAGTAACTTTTTAATACACTTCATAAAAGCAAGTACACATTTATTTGATCAATAATGTTATTTCGATTGTACAAGATCTTTGTTGTTCTAATCTAATCAACTCAGTGAGAGTGAACCACACCACTCCTGTAGAACTGTAGGGGTATAGAAATAGAAATCAAATTGATTGCTGCTAAAATACCTGTTAGAAACAACATCTACTTTTTTATAGTATGTTCAAAGCTTGGAAATGAAATGTGTGAATGTGAAATTAGGTATGCATAGTCAAACGACCGTGACATAGAATTGTCTGGCCTGGCCAAATGCCAAAGCCAATGTCATGAAAAGAAAAGGTAACCTACATCTCCTTCACCCGACAGTAAAAAATGTTCATTATTGTTTGTTTATATACGTCTCTGTTCTGATCTGATTTGGTTAACCATTATTATTTATTTATGCCAGCCTATGGTGCAGTTAGTATGTGTATTATTATTCACAGTATTTATTGAGAATGGAGCTATTTACAATTCATCGTGTCCGTGCATGTATTTCTAGGATTTTATTCTGGCTGGACTGGATGGCACTTCGCAGTTAGTTATTTGCTGAATAGGCTAAGCTAGCTGGTTGGTTAGCATAATGTAGGTTATTAGTGAAGTGACGTGTTTGGAATTTACAGAGATGACTAATGACACCAACATGTAAGTTGTTTCTTGTATCTATACCCAATCAAAAACAATTCGTATTTAAAGATATTTGAAATTATTAGGCTAGGGTAATCAGTTCAACCTAGAGCTCAATCTAGACAAGTTCATTCATAGGCTACTCATCTTTATGTTTTAACTTAGTTTGGCCTTTAATTAAAACAAGTTTTAAATTTAGGTAAAATATGTTTTGTTAGTATTAACTTAACATCTTTTTATCTCACATTCACATGTCAAATAATAGACAAGCTATTAAAACATATCTTCATATTCAAGCTGTTTCATGTTTTGAACTAGATACAGTGTTGCCTGTTATTTCTTGTTTGCCAGACAAAACATGATTTGACCAAGTTTTTAGGGGAGATTTTGCATGAAGTTTGAAGTGATAAATTAGTAGACTTACTTAATTAAAGTAATTAAATTGGTACCGTAGTATAAGATATCCAACTTTTAATCAGCCAATCATTGTCACTCAACAATTCACTTATGGACCAGAGTTAATTTTCTTACTAGTGGATATTAAATATTTAAATTGTGAAATAAACTGTTACCTGTTCAATATCCTTTGATTTTGTTAGATTATTGTTTTAATTTTACAGGGTTGGAGATGAACTTCAGAAGATAAGCGTAATGAAAAATCTTCCCAACCTCATAAGGGAGGATTTGACAGCTTGTCTTCAAAGAGTAATACCTCGGATGCAACAAGTCAGTACCTAGTTAATCTGCGTACCAGTTAATTTAAACCTGATTTATTTTTCATGTACCGGTAGGCTACCTAATAAGTTAAGGTTTACTTCAAAATCCCAAATGGAGCCTGTATATCTCTGACTGTTGAAATCAGTGTTACTAACCATGAAAACTACCAGTGTATGATAAGATTAAAAAGCTAATTGAGATAGCATAGGCCTACATGTTTAGTCATGATTCAGGATTAATTGAATTATTGTATGATGGCTATCAGCTATCAATGTTTTGATACAAGATGTTTTTCAAGAATAGCCTACAATCGTCTAACCCTAAATAGCACCTAGTAATTGTAAAAATAACATTACACTTTACTCTGTGTTTATTTTTGGCAGACTTTACTATATGGCACAACCGAGTACAACATGGGGGCCTGTGAGGCAGTGCGGACTATCACCACACAGAGTATGGTGTCCCCAGATGACACCAAAGTCTTCCTACACCACATCCTCGTCTCCTTAGAAAGCAGAGATACAGGTATCTAGATTCCTTAATACATTACCTACTTACTGAAGACGCTAAATTTTAAGATTCTTCCTAAGATCTTATACAGTAGAGTCTCGGTTCACCGACCTTCGGCTATCAGACCTCCTGAGTTATCCAAAATTCCGAGTTATCCGACGTACCGAGTTATCCGACGTTCCAGATGTATTCTCTTCCTTATCCGACCTTACTAGGCAACAATCAGTCACAGCATCATCTTGAACATCTCCTGGGATTACGATAGAATTGTCAACCACGAGCGCGACACTATTGTTAACACATCCCACGATCACAGTGTCAGCGTGAAGCGCTGATCTCCCGCAATCATGGCACCGTAGTCAACATGTCTCAAACTTGCGGCGTGAGCGTCAACATATCCTAGGGTCCCAGCGCCAGCACAAGATTTCCGGGATCACGGCCAACATGTACCACGCTCGCAGCGCAATCATTAACATATTCTGTGGTCACAACGCTATCTTCAATATGTCTTGTGGTCACGACCATGGTGGAAGTAAATAAGGTGTGCTACTCAGCCGGACGAGTTTGAGACCGTTCTGCGCATCGCGACGTGACGTCACCTTGGGGGCAAACCGCTTCGCGCGCGTATATAGCTCAGCGTGACACTGCTCTATAAACATCAACATTTTGAACTGTTAGAATTGAGGAAAAATTATGAAACTTGACATGGACATCAATTATAAGTGGACGATGCGTGTTGTGAAAAAATTGTTTGTAATTGTTAAAAACTTAAGCGTGAAATCACTCTTTATACTTGGCCTTTCTTAAAACTAAACATGTAAAAGTTAGTCGGCTACCAAATCACGTACTATTTGGTTAGACACATTTGACCAGCGGGAAAGTTTTAGATAAAGATCCAAATTTAACTTTCCTTCAAACTATATACCGTTAGAGGCGTTATTTCCTGAGATATGCTAAGTTATATGAGCGCGTGATCGGAGCGCGTGCTGCGAGTCGAGTCAGTTGCCAAGTATTAATCACACATTGCCATCCAACAAATAATGTAGTTTCATGAATATAGTATCATTGATATTTTTATTCCTGTATTTATATTTTTATGTGAAAAATTGTTGTTCTGTTAACTTCAGTGTGTTTTTCCCCGTTTGAATATGGGTTATTTCGTAATAGTTCACAGAGAATATATAATATTGTCTCCTCGGTGAATAGGGTTAACGTTGCCAAATTGCATTTAAAGTATTGAAAATCGTTGTTGATTAGTTTGAAACCTAAGTTTGTAAATAGTGGTTTAAATAATAAATGATCTTTAACGCAAAGGAATGTATTTAACGTAGTATATAAAATAAAATGTACTCTGTTAAAAAAAAAGTTGGTGATCATTGTATTTATAATCAGGGTAAAATATAAAATTGTTTCACTCTTGCAATACCATGATAATAAAATGTGATATTCCAGTTTAATTTGACAGCTAGGATCCTATTTCACTGGGGTTGTTATCTATTTCGCAACTTTGGCTCGGGTGCGGGGGTGTGTGCGGAGGATGATCACGTGTTGTTTGTTTTGTTTTCGTTTCTGTGTTCACCGCGAGTTGCAGTAGATGTCAGTTTTCCCCAATCTTTCTACAAAAATGCCCCATTGTGCATTGTACGGCTGTTGTAATAGTTCGAAAAATAAGAAAATGCAACCAAACGTGCGATATTTTAGTTTTCATCAACAGGAGGCTAAGACAATGCAATTTTGCTAGTGGCAAAAAAATAAAATTTCTAAAGAAACTTAAAAAAGTTTAGAAAATCCAGAGGTGATGAAATGTTTAATTTTTTAGATGTTTACTTTCAGGTCGTAAATATTTTTATAAGATTGCAAAATGTAACAAACTATGTTTTTGGTTAAGGAAATGTTATTCATTTCCGATCCTACAAATTTTATGGCAACTGTTATCAGAGAGAGTTAGTTTGTATAAAAACGAAGATGTTGCAACGCATTTTAATGTAAAACTTATTATATCTGTCACATGTTAATATTACATATTTCATTTAAAATGTAGAATACAAAGTATATCCTTATAACATGTAGCTACAGTGTTTTGGATAGTAAATGCGTGGCTTTATTATCCAATAAACGGTGGCATCGGCTGAGCGCGCGCTCCGTTGCCGATTGATATAATTCTTCGTAGCTAAAAAAGTAATTCTTTTATCGAAATCCAACCGATACTACAGTTAAATTAGAACCTTTCCCTAAAACTTTCCCGCAGGTCTCATAAACCTGACCAAATAATACGTGATTTGGTAGCTGACTAACTTTTTTGTGTTAGTATGAAAAAGTTTGAAGTTTGATCGGTGGTTGAATGGTTTTTAATTCAAATAAATTAATAAAATTTAAACCATAAGCATCCTATGTTAATAGTCCAAGACTATGCAAAGTTTCAGAAATTTTTATCGGTTCTTACTATTAAAAATTACAATTTTATTAGAGCGGCGTCACTGTTCTATATGGTCGCGAGGCATGTTTGCCCCCAAGGTGACGTCACGATACCCCTCCCCCGCACCGCCTGCAGCCGGCTACGATGCGCAGTAGCACACCTTATTTACTTCCACCATGGTCACGACTCCATCTTGAACATGTCCCGCTATCGCATCACAATTGTCAACATTTCCAATGCTCGTGGCGTGATTATCAGCTCATCCCGTGGTCACAGCGCCAGCGCGAACGTCGTGTTTATAATTTTCGGTGTTATCTAAATCTAACCTTTTTGCTTATCCAACCTTGCTGCGACCGGTTTAGGTCAGATAATTGAGACTCTACTGTAGCGTAATTGTTCAAAATTTCATCAGAATAAATCAGAATTGTTCAGTTGTGATTGATTTTCTTTTTACTCAAAATCGGTCCAAAGGTAGTCCTAATGTGCTCCTGGTGTTCTCAATTCTGTGTTTTTTCTATATTACAATCTGTCATATCAAACAGTTTCACACTGCTAATCTGCTTGTATTTTAATAATAACGAGAGGTCGTCCAGTGGTCGAAACTCGACCAAAAATATGTAATGTACTCACTTCTCTATTTTCACCCCACACTGTAAATAAAACATGTGATTTGAGTTTCTTCCATTTGTTTTGGTTTTCTGTTTACATTTCGTTGTTATTTCGTTACCAGCATGGCAACGCATAAGATCCATGTTAATATTTTAAAATTTTTAAACTCATTTTTTGTGCTTATCTTTGAGCCTATTTAAATTTATGAAGGGATTCTGCACACCTACAGGAAAAAAGTTTTCTAACGGTATGCGTAGATTTTCCCTACGATGAACACGAGCTGAGAAAAAAGGTTTTAAAGAAACATGCTTGCCTATTAATATATAGATAGATAATTTATTTTACTGTAATATTTTACATCAGTGCTGAGTGCTGCATGTTTCAAATTGGGTCACTTGGTTTCTGTGTTTTTAAATTCACTTTAAACATACCTTAGGCTATATTCAATTACTTTTTAGTGTGTTACTACAGATAATGTTGCATTTCCTTCATTTTAATAAAATATATAACTATTGTAGTGTTGTGACACTGCTTTATGCTTCTTCTCTGATAAGTTGACGTTTTTTTTTATTAGGCCTACCGATCATGCATGGTGTAATTTCTCCTTACATCTGTAACGGAGTTTCAGCCAAACTGGGCTTTTCAGCTCTCCAAAACTGTTAAATATTTTGCAAGGCATATTTTAAATTGAAAAAATAATTATTGGTTGAACCCAAATATGTATCTTTACTTAATAGTTCAATGTTGGCTAGTGGAATTGATCACTTGATGTTACAGTGGCTGCAGAAGAATGGCTTAACGTGTTGCTGGATATCATACAAGTCTTACCTGTCAGCATGCTTCAGAATGAGGCAAGTACAAAAATTTTATGATTTGATATTGTTCAGGAGTACATGTAATATATTCAAAATATATAACAAGTCTATGAGCTTGGCTATCACTCTAGGGTAGGAGTGAAGTACGATGCTCTGGTCGAGAAGAGTTTTTTAGTGTACTGCAGGATTCCTTGAGAACGATCAACTCTTGCATGTTAAATGCATGTTACAACCTGATACCAAATTGAATATGTGTATTAAATTATTTCATGTAAGTAAAAGTTCTCTATACCTTTCTGACTTTATTTGTTTTTGTTTGTTCAGGTACTTCCAATGGCTGTGAACAAAGCACATATCTCCAAGCCAGTTCCTGTACGAATTACCAGCTGCAAGATATTGGGGAAACTTGCTCTATCATTTTCTCCTTTTTTGTAAGTAAAACAAAATATTTATATTACGTCACATTAATTGGGTTATTGTTATTAATTTAGGTAAAGTAGACGCTCGCTTATCTGGGAATGTTTGTGACTTTGGTAGTGCTCGATATTGAAAATGACAGATTACGGGATTTTTCTAAAAGCAGCCGTTATTGCCAATCCTGATGTCTGCCAATCGCTTCAGAGATCTGCCAATCACTTTCAACTCTCGAAAGCTATTGTAACTTAAAACAGTGTTAAAAAATATTTTTAATGATTTTTAGACCGATGCCGGTTTATTGTAAAAGCTCGACAATCGGATATCAGGAAGCTTATACACTTTTTAAACTTCAACTAAGATAAATGTTTATAGTTAAATATTACAACACTTTAAAATTTACCAAATATATATCTCTAACTCTAACTCTAATTTAAGGTGCTCCTAAACTTGTGTATGGGATTTTGTAGGTTAAAATGAGGCCCAAGGATAGGTGCAATTAGGTCCTACAGCTGTACTCTGATGCTATAGAAGAAGACTTAAGAAATAAGTTTTTAGGATTACTAATTACTATAAAAAACTTCTTTTCGGTTAATTCACCATCACTATTTTTTTTTACATATTTTTCTTTACGGACCATCATTCTCAATTTACAATAGACTATGTATTACACACTAAACAAAAGTATGTATTTACGGTTATTGATTTTGTTTGACAGAGTGAAGAAAGACATAGTGCCAGTGGTGATTGCGCTGTGTCAGGACGTGAGTGGGGACGTGAGGGCGGAGATGAGCAAGCTGCTACCCAGTGTCGCCACCACGCTGGGCCTAGAGACTGGCAACTGTCTGCTGAACCATGTGTTGGACCTGATCAGTGACGAGGAAGTGATCGTGCGGGCGGCTGCCATAGAGGCAGTGGCAAACATGCTCAACAGCTTCTCACAAGGTGAATGAGCCTTTTAGGAAATCTTTTTAGCGAATTTCCCTATAGGGAAGTACCTAAGCTATTACCGTAGGTGGCATGGTAAGACCTAGACCCGGGACCGATTTACTTTTTCATTTTGATGTCCCCAGAGGCCAAAAACACCATTTGTTAAATTTTTATATATGTAGCCTATATATATATGTGTCCGTGAACGCAATAACTTGAGTAATTTTTGTCCTATTTTGATGAAATTTGGTTTAAAGGTCATCACATTTTTTTAGCAGGATAAACTTGAATGAGTTTGCGAACCAGCATGATCGGACTATGGGAACGGGGGTTTATGGGGTAAAAATAGGTTTTTCCCATTTTGACCCTAAAAACACAAAATTTCACAATTACTTTCCAAACCATTATGTAGAGCTTAAAGAAACAAATAATTTAGTATATTGAAGCGTTATTATGCGCCTAAGGGTTACGGAGAGAATTAAAAAAAATTGTAATTTTAAAATTCCCATGTTATTCTTATGGAGAATAAGTCAACTGTTGTAGTTTGCTTATTTATGAATATATTTTGATCAAATTTGGAAAATACATTAATTTCTTACTAAACTACAGTAGCCTACCTATTAACATTTTACATTAAAAAACACTTTTTTACCCTCCCTGTTACAGTAAACCTAAGTACTCATTAAACTAATTCTATTTAAATAGGGAATAAATGTGATATATTTAAGGAGACGTATTAGTGTAAATCCAATGAGGCAAATGGAAATTCGCTAAGTCTGCAGGTTTGCTGCGGCGGGGGTATTTGAATATATTGTAGGCCATAGAGTTGTCCCTAGTTTCATCGAGGAGTTGTGTTTTCTGACACTGACTCTACTTTTGGTTCCTCCGATTTGGAAACTATGCAATTAGGCTATATACTTTTAAATAATTCAAACACTTTGACTTCAGAATTTCGACACTAGCTTGTTGAACTATTTTATTTATTATGACACTTTAATTGTATTAAAACAATGCATATGTGTAAGCCTGTAGCCTAAAGACATCATAATCCAATAAGGGTGTGTACTGTGTAGTCTTGGTACCTATAAATAGTTGAAAATATGATTATCACCAATGGTTTTTAACCTGCTGCTACTTAAAATCGTGAAACTAACATTAATCTATACAACTTTACTTTACCCATTACATATTTTTTTCAATTCTGTTATCCAATCTGGAATTTCACTGCAAGTGTCATATATATAATGTTAACTATATATAATGTTATGTTTTTTTTCAGAAATTCTGAAGAACACAATAATACCTCTCACTAAAAAAGTCTTTACTGAAATAATGAAAAATGAAGACAATCTGCTTCTAGTCCTCTCTAAGTTTTATGGACAGTATGCCATTGGACTAAGAGGTAAGTGCTCCCTGAGTTCAATTTTATCAAGACAATTAGTAACATACATTGTAAAATATTTACGTCAACAGTTCAAATGTTGTAGTTAACTGAATGTCACGTGACCGAGTCAACATTTTGTGAAAGCTCTTGTGGGGGGATTGCCGTCACGTGGAGTCTGCATGAAACCCATCGGACTGGACGCTGGATGGTCATGGTGAACGTGGTTGTATAGCTGGGTTTTCCAACTCCAGCTATTCAAACTGCTGAGAAAGAAACATAAAAGAGGTGGTTGTGAACGCATCCGACGTTATCGAAAAGACTCACCAGCAGAGGGACACTCCATGGCATTTTAATGACCATCCGGAGTACCCAGAATATTTTTTCCAGTTTTGGTGACTCCAGTGTTGGTACATTGCTTTGCCAATGTCATTCCAATTTTTGGCCTTAATCTCACAGTTAGAATATTCCTTGGTCTTGACATTAAACAGCATATACCGAGCCTTTATCTCACAAATTAACTTCTTTGTGTCGATCATCCCACCGCACCGTGTTAAATACAAACCCACAGACAATAGATAAGAAGTGAACTGCTGTGCGCGGTGACATCTTTACGTGTAGAATAGCTGGACGGGTTCATCCGCGTTGTGAATCCTGCTCGTGTAGACACGCCAATTTAACACTTCATAGTTCCCCTGTCAAACGCGAGAATCCCGTTGCAGTTTTAACACTCGTAGAATGGGCCTAAGCTACTACCAATTAAATCAATTGATAAGTAAGTTTTGATACATGCGATTACCTACAACAGCTGACTTTAATCCCGAGAGAATAAGAATAGAAGGTCTTAGGACCTTGTAGCTAAGACCTGCAAGACGTAGGCCTATATTAAAATGACTGTTTTTGCTGCAGTATGTCAAAAAATCTTTGTCAGCATCCTTTATAAAAAGTAAGGCGGTCCATGAATGTCAGTAATTACTATTTGGGTAATTAGTCGGAATACAATTATTTTTAACACTTTATATGTTCTTAGGTGTCATGTCAGGTCCAGATAAGACACAGTTTTTACAACGATACGTTCAGCTGTCTCAGCTCAATGCCAACACTAAGCAGAAACTCAACCCATACAAACCAGTAAGTGTCTTTAATTTGTTGTTTAAAATAAATATTGAATAGGCTATTTGTTTGGAACAATAATGCTTTAGCTTGTAAATCCATTAGTTGGTTTGGTTACAAACTTAATTAAAATTTTTTTTAACATTTCATAAGTCAGATAACATTGAAAAAGGTTGGCCTAGAGACATGCATTGCCTGTCCTATTTTGTATTTACCATTAAAAAAATCCTGCCTCGATATAAGACATTTCCAAAATAAAAACCCCAGAATTTTTGAGTCTCAAATCAACTTTAAATGTAACCTGGTATAGTTACCTTTTTATGCCACAGGCTGGTATATTGTTTATATTTAAACATCCTTTACACTAGCAATTTGGTCAGAAATGTTTCAGGCTCTGTTAAATTTGGTTTGTAAACTGTAATCTTGATTGCAGATAGTGGTGGATGAAGAAGAGATGGCCCTGCGACTGACAGAATGTCGTCTCAACTGCGCCTACAACTACCCTGCCATGATGGTGTTTGTGTCAGACATGAAGCAAGAGGTGTTGGAAATGATGTTCTCTGTGTTCAAAAGTCTTGCCAGTGACAGCTTCTGTCAAGTCCGCAAAAAGATTGCTGCTGGGTTCTATGAGGTGAGGTTGATTTCCCCTAGTTCTTTAAGGGACAAACATACTACATCTTTTACAGGCCTATCTTTTGAAAATATCTGTAGTATTTTGACTAGGGAATAAGTTAAAGAAAAAGCTCAACTCAGTCCATCCAGAATTTGTCCGATGAAAAAAAATTGATTCCTCCGCATGATCACTAATGTGATCTTGCAGCTGATTACCATAATGTTACTGTGGACGTGGAAGACAATCTAAATTTTTCCATAACCTGGTTACATTGTATTTTATTGTTAAGATATCAGCCACATAACCTTAGGACCTTGTCATCAGCACAGGCAACTGATATTTGTCTTACTTTACATGTTATTTATCAGAAGAAACTGAAACAAAAAGAGTCATTACAAGAATTTGTGCTGATCATGGTTACTAAGATAATTTACTCAAAACATTACCTTTTACAGAAAAATAAAATTATCTGGGTTTGCAGGTGATGAAAATGATGCCGAAGTGGCACTCAGCACTTAAGACTGAATTTATAAAACTGCTCAAAGACGGAATAGACATCGTTTTGGAAGGTTTAGTACCGAATATTTCCAACATTTTGCTGGGGTTTGCTGCAAGCGGCAACATTAGTGCTGATAAACCTGTAAGTAGAATCTTCAGTTTGTATACTTAACATTTGTTTGTATACGGTTTGTATACAGCCATTGAGTACTACTACTGCTACCACTGACTTTTAGATACTATGGACTAGCTGTAGCCAAATTTGATCAAAAAAGCCTCAGAGATGTAAGGTAAGGATGAAACTTGTTAATGGGATACCCATGTACATCTCTATTAAGCTGCGCGTGGGTGTACATATGCACAAGGGCAGTATTCTTGTGACGAGCTAGGAAGAGCCCGAGCAGAAGTTTTTATCACAAAAGTCACAGGCTCTTCCTGCAGAGCATTGTTGTACAAAATGATGAGTGGGATTAGGAGAAACGACAGTGTTGAACTTTGTCCTAGACACCAGCGACTAGTGATTGAAACCACTTGAAAGCACTATTGATTGTTTCCTCTGTACCTTAATTCTCTGTGAAAGAACCTAGAGGAATGAACCACTCACTGCTTAAGTTTAAAATTCTACTTCCAAAAATTTTCTTTCTTATTTTTTGTTTCATATTATTTGTTAGTTTATGTGACGCAAAAGAAGCTATAATAAGAGCTACAATAAGTTTTCTCTTAGTTTTGGCTTGGTAAGAAGTTGGTGTATTCGAATACCAGTTAAATGCACTAATTTAGAGGCTCAATTCAACTACATTCACATTTATTATAAATTGGTGACATGGGAATGTGTTTATTTCTGCCCTATAGTCCAAGAAACTGTCTAAACTAAACAACATTGGTTGAATGAAATTGTTATATTACTTTAATCTGTATTCAATAATCATGTGTTACAGGAATCAGGTAAAGATGTAGGTCAAGCATTGTTCATTTGTGAGAAGAACCTGAACGATTCATTCCGCTGGAGACTACATGAGGAAGTGCTGCTTGCATTCAGAGCCGTCCCTAAAATCTTCCACCATGAGTTTGTCTACACGTACTTTGTGCCTCTTCTAATGACCAGAGCTTCCAATGGGGTAAGATTGGCTTATTTGTAGCCTAAATTACAAATTGGAAGTCATTTAAGAAGTTACTTTTAATCCATGTAGACCTTAATTAAGTATTATTAAAAATAGAAACTGGTTCAACAAAATTGTTATTAGTCAATGTTTATGGGGAGAGTATTTCAAATAAACCCCTAACAATTTCCGGATTTAGTTTGTTGAATTTTTATCCTTGTAGAGTTTAGTAAAATCGGTTATGCAACAATTATTATCTGGTATCTATTATAACTAGTTGCTCTGCCCGTGCTTCGCTACGGGGTGAGAATGAAGAAAAGAATAATTCGGTTTTACAATATACTCGTAAGGTCCAATAAACAAGTATAAATGTAATAATTTACACTACAGAACTATATAACTTCAATAGGATTTAGCCTAAGTTAAAAAGAAGCCATTTCATTTCCATGTACACCACTGACATTTTATTAATAAAATAAATGAAATCATAACAAATATATACTTTTCATTTAGTTAAATTATACCTCTGTATCTCAGTCCTAAATAAATAATTGAAACAATCTTACTTTATGATGGGCTTCCGTAGAGCTCTATTTTAATACAGGAACTCGTCTGTAAAAAAAATATACAAATGCATAAATATAACTAATATAACTATTCTAAAAATAAATTTCAATTACCATTTTCTTTCGTATAATGTGCTTTTTGCAATTTAACATACTTATAACCTAATTTTACATATTTTAGTATTTGAGGTTAACCAACAGTGAATATTATTTTCCCATATCCATGTTCAATAGTATTTTCAATACAAATTTTAATTTCAGATTTAACTTTCCTAGATTATAATGGATAATAATATTTTGTACTTACAATGTCTACGAGATTTGCCTGCCATGAGATACAGAATTATGAATGAAATCAAACTTTGTGAGGGAAATGAAAAAAGAAACAATGTTACCACTACAAACAATTAAAATAAATCAATTATGCTTCTTACATACTATAACTAAATTTGCTGGATTTTTTTTTTTAACAAACAATACAAGAATCAGTATAACAATAAGATACTATAAGAAACACACTTACCAGGAAACATATAGGCTCAATCGTTCTTATTGATTATTTAAATGAAGATCTCTTAATGTATCACTATAATTTTATATAGTGTATTGCATTTAAAATATATGCAAAAGTATAATTCATGGACCACATGGCACCAAGAAACAATTACTCTCCTTGTAAACAAATTAAATTAAATAGTAGAACAGCTGGAGTTTCATAACAATGTTTGTTTCCCATGTTAATCTTATGGAGAAATACGAAACTTTAAAGGGCCCTAGGGCCTCACTCTCTAATTATTTCCCTAAAAAGAAAGTTTCCTGCACAACTTTACGTTACGCTCTTTCCAATGACACCAAAAACATGTCAATCGGTTCAGTAGTTTCGGAGGAGTAATTGTCACAAAAATCCTGCTTGCGTATTAAATAATCTATTATAATTATCATGTTATACTTGGGAAGAAGATATCTTCAGGCTCAATACTTTTTTGCTGAGAAGTCTTTAAAAAAAATCTAGACCTTTAAAATCAATAATGTTGTTTTACAGAGAATCTTGCCCTGTCGCGTTGCAGCTTTGCACACACTCTCAGTGATTATTGTTGATCCATCCCAATCCAAGCAAAAACACAGAATACGGGATAAAATTCTTGGTAAGTCATTGAATTTTATTTGGATTTGTTTCAGTTTAGACTTTTCCACTCGGCCTTCTGGGTTCACAGTTAATTTACTGTATTAATGTTTTTCAGAACTTTGCAACAACTCGAGTTTTCACTGCCGTCTCTTGTTTCTCCGAGGAATGGAAATACTGCAAACCCTATCACCTGACGTACTGAAGGAGTTGTTCTTCCATCACATCATCTCTATGGCTGGTAAATCATATAAGAATAATAAGCTGGGTAACTAAATAACAGTATTTAATGACAAGTTTTTGGAACTTAGTGATAAATTATGTATCACACCTCAGTAAAAGTATATCCAACAATTCATATGTACAACAATACTACTTTAACCTTATACCCTCAATAAGGGATTTGTAGGATAGGATGGATATTGTTTTGTAACTTCTGAGCCTCGAAGATGAATTTTAGTTTGAAGTAGCCAAGTAGCCTACTTACATAATACTTGAGTCCTGCTATATCAAACTAATTGGGACTGTACTCTGGTCGGATTAGAAGAATTAGAAATGAGTGGATTTCTGTAATTTTGATCATTGCAATTGTTCATGATTTCGGTGCAATTGTGGGAGACCACGATGATGTCTCTGCAACCACGAAAGATGTTATAATTTTTTTGTTTCCACAGAAGATGTTCTTAATTGCAGGTTAACTTGTACTAATGTACTGTATAACAAAAATAATAATTTCCAAACTTAAGTTTAGAATAGGTGAATTTTTGAAATAATGGGACCTTACTGTGATTAACTGTATTTATGGTAATTGTTAGAACAGTCTTGGCTGTAAATTGTAAAATAAAATTGGTTTCCAAGCGGCACCAACAGACCAAGAGACGCCAAGTCTGGTTTTAGGGGATGAAATGGTAAAAAATTCAAAACATTTTTCATTTTTGTTAATCGAAGCAATATTCAGACAAAAGATAGCTTTTATTACGTAGAGACGGACCTTTAAGAGTCTGAGTGGTTATGGTATTTGCCTGATGATCGAAAAGTCGTTGATTTTATGGTAGTAAAAGTTATTTGCTTATCACGGTTTAAAACTGAACATAGCTATTCTTGATGATTAGTCTTTCATAAATGGCTCTGACTGAAGAATTAACTTGGTCTTTGAAAAACGTCAGGTAGTCTCATTAAATTCTACACTCACACTTTCATATTCAGCTTCTTGTGTTGAAGTCATTCTCCTCCACTTAATGTTACAGAGGACAAGGTGCCCAATATCAGACTGATGGTTTGCAAGTTGCTTCCCAAGCTGAAGGGCCTAGCCAGTGACCCTGTAGATCGCAAGTTGCTGGCCTGCGTAGATGCTTGTGTCAACACACTAAGTGATGAGACTGGTAAGTCCTCCGCTAGCTGCACGCTGCAAAGTGATTGTTATAAAAAGTGGGACAGAAGTAGTTTTGTTGAATAATTTTTCTGTGTTGCCTATTTAAGCTTTGCACTGATTAGTTTTTATGTACTTATTGTGTTTTAGTAGAACTTTTCTGGATTGTGGTCCGATCAGAAATGTTATACTCTTTATAGTTTGACAATTGATTGTTCAATCTTTGTTTTAATTTTTTGAAAGCATCTTGGTAAAAGTCATAGCTGTTTTAGTGGTTTTTTTTACTTTAAAGTTGATTTATAAAAAAAAATAATGATTGTTATTTATACTTTTTTTATCAAAGGAACCAACCACGAAGCAGTTTACTTAATAGTGCTTCCCAACAACAGTTTTTTTTAAATTGCTCTGATCAAATTATTGGTTAGTTTTTCAGTCAGGTGACTAGCCAAAATGCAGACATTAGTACAGAAGATTAATGCATGAATACTAAATTAAATTTGTTAAGATTTCAGCCTAAGCCTAGACTTTATTCATATTCAAATCTACACTTTTAAAATGGCGTTTATGTTATACCAAAACCAAACACTAACAAAACCAGGTCTTGTGGTTTGATCTCAATACAGTAAAATTATTGTATGTTGGGGGAAATTATCTATAAATTATTTTTTACAGATAGGGATGTATTAGCTCAACTAAGATCTGCGTTACGAGAGATGGACGATATAGAAAAGTGTAAAGCTGGGATGTTTAAGAAGGTAAGTAGCAACTTCTCACTTGATTTTTGAATATTGCTTATTATTAGTTTTATTCTAAAAAAAATCACTAGTGCTTGTTTAACCCTTTGTGGAAATGGCGCCCGGTGACCTATACTCGCCATTGGACTCAAAGATAAACTTTTTTATTTTTTATTTTACATTTTTTTAGTATAGGTTGCCATTTTTGAGCAGTCGGGAAAATGGTGGGCGGCAACCTATCCTATACTAACCATTAGACTGCAAGGGGTTAATAATTAGCTTACTAATTTAGTACTAGTAGTAAGTTTAATTTAATTTTTACTCTAGTTCCTAGAATCTAACCAGATGAGTCTTCTTCAGTAAAAAAAAAAAAAAAAAAACATTGATGGATATTGTGAACAGGAACTTAAGCTTAGCCTATTAATAATTTAAAATCTCTTTACTTCTGAACTTTTTCTATTATATGCACTAGTCTCTATTGATTTGTTTTAAGTTTTACTATTTACTTACTCAAACATTTTGTTTAATTGAATGAAATTTGTATTTAAAAACTTCCAATTACTCTGGTTGTAATCTAAAAAATTTACAGTGAATTGATTCTTTCGATAAAGCATGTTGATTAATCATAAAATGTACAATTACACTTGTACATCAGTTATAAAGGAATAACATAAACCAAAAAACAAGAAAAAAATGACACAACCCTTAAAATGCTGTATTCCTAATAATAACAATGAATCTTGATTTTTTTCCCAGAATGCTAAAAAAGCAGCACCAGCACCGACAGAAGTAGTGAATATGAATATTTCTCAGGTGCCATCTATAAACATCATGAAAGCAGACACACGTAAGTTCTCTTTGGTTATTTGATTTGTGTAAATTTAAAAAGGGTTATATTGAGTAGAATAGGTAGTAACTTGCACAAAATTCAGTTATATTAATTACCCTAGAATAAGTAATCTGTAGCCTATATTGTAGGTTTTTGGAACTTGGCCTACTGGTTTTTGTTCAAATATGTAAAGTTGTTTTAGTATTTAGAAGTTTAATGAATCATTTGTTTTCAGCCTTGACGGATATGAGGAGTACTGATAGCTTGTAAGTATTGTGGACAAATTTTATACTACTTTTGCAGCTAAACACATAGTTTGGAAATTTAACACACTCAAAATTATTAAGTTAAATTTTAATGATCATTGTGGTTTTGTTTTAAAGATTTCCTTTGATCCTCGCAATAAATGGATAAACTTTATGCTTCTCCATTCAAAATGGAGAAACTTCAGCAATGCTTTCAAAGTTTCCTGTGAGTTTTTGATTGAAGATGGAGAGTATCAATAAGGTTGTGCCATGTTCGGTCCCGAGTGTGGTCCGGTTAAAAGGTGTCCGGAGAAGAGGGAGTCTACTGTATTTAAAAATATTCAAGTTCATGTTACTTAAAAGTAAAATAAAAACCTGCATTCTGGTCATATGAGACAGTTAAGTCACTTTGTTGAGTTTTGAGTTAGTTCCATCAGTAGTACCAGTGACACTGACTGATTTGGAAAAATACAGATTGTGGCAATCCTTACCTTGGTGGTTGTAAATGTTAGATTCAACGGTGTTAATGATGATTGCAGGAACAGTCGAGGCAGAAACACCGTCATGTCCTCGTACAGTGTAGCTCGTCAATCACCAGCTGCTTCACAAATCTCTAGTCTCAACTCTACCAGTTCTAACTCAGGTGTATATCGCATGTGTTATTATAATAACACAATATTTTTGCTTACCTGTTTTGAAACCAAAATATAATGATTATTTTGTATTGGATTTACCAAAAAATCAAGCATCTCTAAAATAAAACTACTGTGAAAAAGTGCAATACAAAAATTAATCAAAACAAACAAATTGTTACGGTAGGCTATCCGTTTCTCCCCCAGAACATTATATATTTACAAAGAGACACACAAACTTAGTTTTCTAGAATTATTGTTTGTCTCCATATATAAACAAGAGTCCTGAAAAATAAGATAATGATCGATTGAGCATTTCACCTATGCATGCAATTTAAAAGTAGAATACCAGCAAGGGTCAGTTACAATTGTCTATACTAAAATCTACATTCACCTTGTAGTACAGTTTTTATGTAAGATAGCCGTGCTATTCAAATTACTAAAAACAATGTTAATCACTGTTTGGGTCACATTAACTGTCTTCGCGGCCCTCAAGAAGGCGCTATTTAATTCACAAATTGTATCAATTAAAAAAATTTGGTTTTTAATCCTGGGCTCCTATTTTTCTCTGCATTCATTTTATTGCTTGGGAAATTGGTTGATAAATAATTATAATTGATGAAGTCACATTTAAAATCTTGCTTTCCGTTAAACTTGCTACTCTATTTCATTTTTAGTAAGTCTGTCACCAAGTGTAGCCGATTGTTTAACCTATTTATCCGTCATCAGGTCCGTTCACACGAGCTCAGTCTGCTCGGCCTTCCCCACGAACCCCTAGACCATCAACCAGCATAAAAAAGCCACCTGGATTGAATAAGTGAGTAAAACGTGTGAGCTATATAAGTTATTCATGAACCATATAAACACGTCTCAGTATAGTCGTTGCCCTGTATACGGTCGCCGCCCTTTGAATGATACAGGCACTTCTGCCCAAAATACATGCAGATACGATGACAAGAGCCATCAACTCCACGGCTTAAAGTAACATATTGATTAATGATTAGGGCTACAATAATCAGCAATATTATTTAACAATTTCTTTACAAAGAGTTTTGCGTTAATACTTCTATTATATCTCTGCATGAATCTGTATATTTTACTAATACAATAAGGAGTAACTGATTCTCATTGTTAGGTATCTAATTGTTAAACAAAATAGTTGAAACTTGTGTGTAATTTCAGGTAATGTTTCTATCTTGAGAAATGGATGAATCTAAAACTGATTGTCCTCCCAATCTCCTCTCAGTCGAACCCTCCTCACCAAAGACCCTCCTATGTCTTGCTTCGTCCTCTGTAACTGTAAATGAATAAATATTCACTCATACAAGCTCTTTTATTTCTTATTCAACATGAATATATTATTCATTATATTTTACTGTACAGGCATATTAGGTTAACAATTATGTAGGGCATACAAAGTTTTGATAAATGTGTGATTGTTAACTGAAAATTGTTTCTTCACTTTTTGAAGTTGTTATATGTGATCAAAATAACTTAAAACTTGACAAAACAATACAAACATAATTTTAACAGAACATTATTTTTATTTGCATTTATATAATGGGTAAGGGACAGTTTGTTCATAAGACTCAGATTCTAAATTATCTTTAAAAATCCAACAACATTTTTCTTTTGCAGGCTCTCAACTGATGAATTCTTAGTAGATGCAGGAATCCCTTTGAAGTCAACGACCGCAGTGATGAAACGCATCCCCACTCCCCGTCCTGTGCATAAACCAATGAATGCTGTTGAAACATACAAGGACACACAACACAAAAGTGATACTAGGGATGGCATCGAGAAGGGTTTACAGTATTCACCAATGCCAGAGAGAGCCTGCTCAACTCTGACGAATAAAAACCTTAATGTTACAAACCGCCCGAGTAGTTTACCAGTTAAAAAGATGAACTTTAAACCGCTAACCTTTAAACCGCTAACCAAAGAGGAGATTGAGAAAGAGTTGATGCAAACAGATTCACGACCCTACTCTCCAAGATCCAGATTGAAAAACACTCCTAAACCTAACAAACTTGACAAGAAAGAGAACAAAAGACTAAGCCTTGACCCGACTGAACTTTCCTACGCCTATTCGAGAATGGAAACACGATCTTCCAACCTAAACAAACGCATGAGCATGGATGTTGATTCTAAAAAGGATTTAGAAAATAGGAAAACATACTTGAACAACAATTTTTTGACCCCTAAAATGGGTTCAACAAGATCTGGAATTGTTCGTCCACAGTCGTGTGTTCTACAGGGAGAAAAAGTCAACTATTCAAAAAGGTCAATGTCAGTGGAAAACTTGCCACCCAAAGTTACAAGACTTGCCAGCAGGCTACCAGTCAGGTAAGTTCTTCATTTTAAATGTTTAGATTGCTTTAATAAAATATATATTAATGTTAAGAATATATTTTATTAACGATATGCGTGTGTTGCTTATTGATAAAAGCTCAAGTTTAACGACCAAGGCAAAGCCGAGCATTTACTCAACTTTGGTTCTTTTTTACCAATAGACAAAAGAATGTACTTTAGCCCTGCCTGCCCAAGCGATGTATTTTGTTGAAAGCAAATATAACAAAGTTTTAGCATCACGCCTGCCAATATAGAAAAGTTACAATTTTTAAGATTTAAAAATGTTTATTCTATAATAATAAACATATTCATGACATTTATAACACATATTTCTTACATGTATTTTTTATATTTCAGGGCAAATAACGACCCAAAGCAAACCAAGCCAAAATGAATCCAACGATGGAACTGAAGTATCAATATGGCACCTGTGATAATAGGATTAGTAACGGTAGTACTTAAACATATTTATTTATTTTCATACAAATAGATTTTATTAATTTTATACTAATATATTGGAAATATTTATATAGCAGGGTATACCTGTACATTATCAGTAGTAATTAATACAGGGATGTTAAAAAAAGGTGGGGACATAATTTACGTCGTGATTCCTTGGGTCAAAATAAAGAGACAACAGGAATAACATTTTTTCCAAAATCGCTTCATTAACCAGATATCCGCCATTTTGTATTTTTTACATAAAAATTTTTATCTTTGTATTCTTTTAACTGATCCTTATGAATAAGATCTTTTAAAACTTAATATCGTTCGATAGGGAATTGAAAATTCTAAAAAAGTATTCTTGACATTTTTATCATAAAATCAACTTTTTTTGTAATTTAATTTTAAAAAATTAAAATGGCCACCATTTTGAAATTTTGAGTTGAATCAAGATGAGTTTTTTTTCTAATATGGTTTTCTTCTTCCTTAACATAATACGCACCAAGTGTCATAAACATTGGTTGAAAAAATTCAAAGATATAAATAATTATGTAAAAAATACAAAATGATACCTGGTTAACAAAGAAATTTTGGAAAAAATGTTATTCTTGATTTTCTCTATTTTTAATTTTTACCCAAGGAATCACTACGTACATTATGTCCCAACCGTTTTTGAACACCATGTATAGTTAGAGACTTATGACTTAAATATTTAAGAATTTATGCCCCCGCATTACAGTTTTGGGAATCAGTTTATTAAGAGTATATATATATATATTTTTTTACAACAATATATTATGAATTTGTGTCAATTATCGCTGGTGTCAAAGCAAGTTTGGAATACTGGAGTGACAGTCAAACAAAGGTAAATACTCTATAAAACTAAAATGGAATCATCCATGGTTTTTGTGCCATTAAGTTTAATCAATTTTATTTTTAGTGACATTTAATCTATTTTTGTAAGTTTTTGTGATATTTGTTAAAAGACAATGTTGTTATTTTTAAGCATGTTTAATAAACTTTTACTGCATTGCATTTTTCTTTCATGCATTTACTTTTATGGCTTGAGCAGAGCAGTCCTTGGGTGGCGCAGGCCCAGTGCAACATTAAGATAATGATAATTTATTTGCACATAACATACAAACTCGTGAAAATCACATGTACAGGTGCTTCGTCTTGATTTCTTAAAAATTGTTTGTCAGTCCTTCCTCCTTAATTATTCTAAAACATAAAACATTAATCAGAGACTCTTACTCCCAAAAAGGTGGTATTCCAACAAACTAACAAAAATCTCAATGTTTTACGATTTATACTTTCTGCTTTTAATTTCTTTATAATTTACAAAAAAGGGGCTTTGTGCAGCTGCACCTATCGCTCGTGCCTAAGGCCGGCTCTGGGCTTGAGTTTAAAGATTGTAAACAACCAAAAACTGTAAGAACAACTAGTATTTCAAATACATATTTAACATTTACACAGTAGACTCTCACTAACTTTGCATCATAAGAAAAAATTCTGTTCATTGTAATGCAATTAATTACTCTATAGCTATTATCAATGATTTGATATGACTAACCAAGTATTGCTCACTACTTATCGCGAAAGTCCTATTTCAGGGCTCAATAGCTGTCTATGCGCTCAACTTCACCTTGCTTTAAAATGAGACATGTAGATCTTTGGGGATCAGTAATGAAATATAATATATATGCCCTACTCAAAATTAAACTCAGAAAACCATTACTAGGTTTATCTGTTTAGCAAGGAGTTGAGATAACAGTTTCTAATTTCTATAGAATATTTTTGCTATGCCAGTTTAAAGAACTTGAATTGTATTAGATTTACCTTTGTTGTTGTTGCCTGAATATTTTAGGTAAGTGGTTTGTGTTACCAAAAAAGGCAGTAGCGGTATCTAAGACAACTATACACCAATTCCTTTTTTTTTCAACATTGTCTAAGGTTTTAGAGAGTCCACGACAGGCTTGTATCTATTTTATCCAAGCATTAGGCATGAATGAATAGCGACTACCTATGCCACACAAGGTGACAAAATTCATAGCGCAACACATAATAAATTGATATCCTATATCCTACAAGAGCCCAGGCAACAACAAAGGTAAATCTAAACTATAACTTAGATACTGCCAGATAAAGCAGAGTCTACTGTAGTACTGTACTTTTATTTGATTAATTTGATCTAAAATCTTCTCATACCATAACCATATTTATTTTGTTTACTAATCTAAATAAGAAAAAAAATGCTTATGGTTTTTTACTACTAAAGCACGTAAAACTTAATTTCAATTACATCAACAATATATTGTTAAACGGCCTTAATGATACTCTTATCAGTCTCAAGTGATCATTTAAAAAGATAAATTTTCATAGGTTGTTATGTTACAATAATACTAAGGTGCTAATAAAAGTTACTAATATTGTGTGTTTTAAAAGTTAAACAGTGAAGTTTGATTAATTTGTTAATTCAGAATTTTCTATGCAATAAAATTTCTTTAAGGTGAAATTCTTCTTTCTTCTTTTCCTGCTTGCCTCACAGTTACAGAAAACTGCCCTTACTTAATACTTTAAAACCATACGAATGTAGGTATTTTAAGCCAAATATGAGTGAAGGATGAGTGGCGCGATCTTGTAGTCTTGTTAGTGACGAAGACCGACACATGTCTTAGCATAGACAAATAGAACAAATAAAGACTGTCAAAGGAAGTTTCCTGGCGCCCACCACACTGTAGCGGTGTGCGCTGTAACTACACGATACTCCTAGTGGTGGGCGCCGGAACATATGCTAACTGCAGCACTGCTGCCAGTCTATATTCATTCTATTTGTTTATGGTCTTAGCCACAGCTGTTAATGCCCATAATGGCAACTAAGGAACCTACATAAAATTGTGAACAAGGTATTAAGGGTGTTGTTGAAGGTGGCATGGTTCCAGGCAAAATACCCAAAGAACATGATTTTTACAGAAAACTCTCTTCTCAACCAACCTGCACAGGACCAGACTAGCTTGGGCAAGGCAAAAGGCCAGTTGAAACGGACAACCATGTAAAATACTGCGTATAACCTAAGCAATGGAAGTATGCAAAGTGGTTGTGTTGGTGACAACTGTAACTGTACTACAGTAGACTCCCTCTTATCCGGACTCCTCGGGACCAAGAAACCGACGTCCCTAAAAACTAGTTGAAACGGACTGTAAAAATGCATACTGTATACAGTATTTGAGTTAAAATTAGGATAGCATTGTATTTAGACACGTGATCACTGGTCTCAAATCTTTCCCACAATAGTCGTTTCAGTACAGCCCACTTCCTGCCGATCTAGTCCGGTTAAACCAATATGCTGATAAAAATTGTCTGGTTAAAAAGATGTCATTTCCGCCGAGTGTAGTCCGGTTAATACGATGTCTGGTTAAAAGGTGTCCGGATAAGAGGGAGTCTAATGTATTTGATTACTGGAATATAAAATGGGAACAGATGTCTAAATTCTTAGAAAAGGTTGGTAAAACCACAGCTTTGAAGTCAGGGTAATTAAACCAACCCCTATTTTTCCTGACAAAGAAGCGGTTGGTTATTCTAAAAAACACTAAACAGGCAGTAGTCCAAGCAAACTAAAAAAACTTACACAGGGATCGTTAAAAAAATTGCAAGAAAACGTTTTATGGTTTTATTTTGTAGCATTGGGTTTGCTGAATGACATACCGTACTAAAAGTTGCCAAAAATCGGTGCACGAGAAAACCACTAAAATCACAATTTAAAATGGCGGCTTTTCCCATCATTGGGCAAAATAAAAAAATGATTTTACATGCATTTGTTATGCACATTTTTCGAGATATCGACTTGGGACCACCGCCAGTATTTATTGGGCAGTTAGAACTTCATTTTAATAGGCAATGTGTTTTTGGCCGCCATCTTGGATCCGCCATATTGGACATAGATAATTTTTTTTTTAATGTAATGATAGTGTTGTGTTGTGACACATCATTACAAACTACATTTTTACACTGATTTCAATGCCGAAATCCGTTTTTAAATATATTTTTTCATTTAGAAGATATATTCATACAAAAAATCTACACCATACATTTCTTAAGGACGTTTCGTAGTTTGATAATTCTTTTTAAATTATTTTTCTTATATCTCCAGTTTTAATTAACGATTGCAGTTCGTTCTAACCTTAAAATGTTCAGTAATGTAAGGGCTCATTTGAGCTCTTGAGTATTAAAGTCAGACCTGTTAAAGACCAGCTACAAACCTCTGAATAATATTAAATTTAACTTTTTAGAAATATATTTTTATTAAAAGCTTTATAACTCGGGTTGTTATTACGTCACCAAGTTCTTTCTGGTCTTAAACTACTCAGTAAATGTTTGGCTTTGATTTCAATAATCATTAAACAATATCTGACAATTTTAAAATTAGCCACGGACCTTAATTTAACATTAAAATGTATTTATTTCAAAAATTTTCTTTAGTTAAAGACGTATATGCCCAATTCTAAATAACTCCCAATATGTAATCCATAGCTAAAATAAAAGTCAATACTTGGTGAATTACTTAAGACTATAAAGAGTTTTGGGAGTGTTATTTAGAAGTGGGGATATACTCTTTAACTAAAGACAAATTTCGAAATAAATACAATTTAATGTTAAATTAAAGTACATGACTCATCTTAAAATTGTCAGATTTTGTTTGATGATTAATAAAATCAAAGCCTAAAATTTACTGAGTAATTTGAGACCAGAAAGAACTTGGTGACATATTAACAACCCGAGTTACAAAGCTTTTAATAAAAGTATATTTCTAAAAAGTTAAATTTAATTTTGTTTTGAGGTTTGTAGCTAGTCTTTAATTTTACTCAAATGAAAACCCTCACATTACTGAATATTTTAAGACTAGAACAAACTGCAAGCGTTAATAAGAACTGGAGATATAAGAAAAATAATTTAAAAAAAATTATCAAACTACGAAATGTTCTTAAGAAATGTATGGGGGAGAGTTTTCGTTTGAATATATCTTCTAAACGAAAAAAGATATTTAAAAACGGATTTCGGCACTGAAATCAGTGTAAAAATGTAATTTGTAATGTGTGTAATGTGTCACAACACTATCATTACATTTCAAACAAGTTATCTATGTCCAATATGGCGGATCCAAGATGGCGACCAAAAACGCATTCCCTATTAAAATGAAGTACTATCCACCCAATAAATACTGGCGGTGGTCCCAAGTCAATATCTCAAAAAATGTGCATAAGAAATGCACGTGAAATCTTTTTTTATTTTGTCCAATCTTGGGAAAAGCCGCCATTTTAAATTGTGATTTAGGAGGTTTTCTCGTGCACCGATTTATGGCAACTTTTGGTATGTCATTCAGCAAACCCAACACTACAAAATAAAACCATAAAACGTTTTCTTGCAATTTTTTTAATGGTCATATCCTATATTTCTCTGACTACAGTTAAGACAGACAGGCACAGGCAGGTCAATTATTGCAATAATAATTTATCTGTAAAATGAGCGGTCTCTGAGAAACCGATGTGCCAAAAAATCAAAGTATTCTAGGTGCAATAATAAAACATTAATTAAACATTGAGAGGGAAAATTAATAAGTAGAAAAACTCTGTTTTTTGTATCTATTGATTATTTCGTCACATAATATTACTATACACAAATGAAAGAAAACAATTACAAATAATTGTTTTCATATATTATTTACAAATCTTATATAAAAATCTAAAATGTACAATCATGTTTTTATTTTTAATATAATGTTTATACACATTTCTTTAGATTCTGTAAAAAAAAATAAAAAATAAATAGTATTCTATCATTAAACAGGATGTTTTTAAAAGAATGCCGGGATTTTAAACGGTCGTTGCTCGGGGACTATTGAAGATAATTAAACGATTTAAACGTCAAACTGAAGGGAAAAAACAAAGTTTTTGTCTCATTAGTTAATTTAATTCGGAATGATTTAATGAAATGCAAATTTTCATTTATCTTATATGAGCGTAAAACTGGCAAAGCCTGTATGATTAGGGTGATCGGGCGGGTTTATTTGATTCTTAACTGAATCCTTTTAGGCACAAAGACTCCATCTTTTACAGTTAACATCATAAAGTTACCAATTTAGGTTTGTTCGACTGAAGACCTCGCCGGCAACCGATTTTTTCGGGCTTCTGATGCAGAATTGTCAGATTTCTTCGACTATGTCATTGCTTGTTTTTAGCCGGCCAGGTGAATGTCTTTTCAAAACACTACGGTGCCACGAAACCAGCTTCAAGTTTCTTTATCATCAAGTAGATTTAAATTTAGTTTAATTTAGTAATGGATATAAACTCTGCGAACCACAGATTACAATCTGTGCCGTAAATTTCGTACTGGAGACTGACGTCAAGCATGAGTCACCACAATAGTGGCCTACCACCGCGCACCTGTTTTGCGCATGCCTGGGTCAAAATTTCCTCCCTTGCACGGGAAACAAAACTTAGTTGTTTTAGCTTCAATTTGACGTATATAACATTTAGTTACCTTGAATAGTACCCAAGCAAATCACCATTTTAAATCTCGGCATTCTTTTAAAAACACACTGTATTTCATTTCTATATTAGTCAGCTAATAAAATTAGTTGACCTTGTTTTTAATAAATAATACTATTTACATGTACAACATAAATCCATACAAACATGTATTGTTCTTGTAAGAGTTTATTAAATTGTCTATAGAGCGCAGTCATTTGGGAACATATAAAATTGAGTAAAAATGGTAACATCGTTAATAACATGAGACCCTTCAATAAAGCTTTAAAATCAAAACCAACATTCGTATCTCATTATGTCCTAAAGTATATTAACATTAACTAACAAATTTCTACATTCTTTTTAGTTTAAATCCAGCGTAGCTAACGTCTCACCAGGAGACTGGTGACATCTTGGAACACAAAACCAACATGATAAATTTCTTTAAATGGACTTAGTTGTGTTTACATTTCTGGAAAGAGTATTTGTGAGAAAAATATCATATGAAATGCCAAATATGATCATTTTACATTTTTTTTTAAAGAAACAGAAGAGTTTGAGCTTAAATAATTTAAGCAGAAAACGAGAAAACATTCTACAATAGAACTCTTAACTACACAAATTGTCAACCACCTAAATTGCTTACATTCAACAATCCAAGTATCCGAATGTCCTACATTCGGTCCAAATTGGTTCGGATAATATTGGAGTTCTACTGTATTAGGGATCACATTATTTAACACGATTTAGGATAATGACTTAGCTATATTATTAGTAACTTAACAACAGTTTTTGCAAAATAATAACCTTGTACAGAAAAGAGTTCTTCCTTGATAAGAAAATCAAATAATCAAGGATTCGTTAGACTTTTTACTATAATTTTAATTTAATTCGTCATGACGTGTGTTAGAGAAGAGAATTCTAAAATGTGTTAGTTAATTATACCTCATATAGAGCAAAACTCGTACAAAATAAAATCACAATTTTCAGTCACTTTAAAACTATCTATTCTAAAAAGTAGAGCTATTCACAACACAACAACAGTACCAAACAACTAATAAAGAAGAAAACTTTTTGATCACAACTGGAAATGAGCTGATAGAAATTCTTCTTGAAGCCAAATTAATATCCAAGCACTAATTGGTTTCTTGAAAATAGATTCTTCCATAATCTTTTATTAAGCATTATATTAAGCTTATTGCTTTATACAGATTGGCAAGATCTTGAAATGTATGAAAACATATACCTACAAATACAGTTTTAATCAGCGGGACTTATGAAAATGACGGTCTCAATTCCTCAATACAGTACTACCACTGATTATTTTTTGGCATTCAATTTTAGATTGGGATGCTAATTTTAACCTAAATATGAGTGTAGAATGGAGTGAGATTTATTGTTTAGCTTTGTTAAATGTTAACACCAGATGTTTCATTTGTCAGGTGCATTTATTTAAAGCCAGATGATGAAGGACAGCTGGGTTCAGTTTCGAAACCATCAAAAAGCACCTTATTTTTATCAGGGTTGAACCAGACCTTTTGATTACTAGACAAGCCGAACAACCACTACCCAGTGTACAAAAAGTCAAGCTAACTCATAAGACACAATAAATGGTATCAGAAGTCTCACACATACTTTCTACCATTAGCTTTTCAACAATCCGCATGGCACATGGGTAAGCGGTAAAATTGAAGTGGCAATAACGTTTAAACCCCAATTTTTTACAGCAATGGGGGTTGAACCATTTTGTTAAGAGTCAAGAAGAGTATAACATACAAAATTTTAATCAAAATCGTTCAGGCCATTTTTGGAAACATTTTATTTTATTATTTTATGGAACCTAATGGGAAAATCACCAATAAAAAAAATTCCTTGAGATACCGTGGACACCTAACAATCAAAAGGTTGCCAGATCGATCCTGAGAAATGTCAAGGCTTTTTAATGGTTTAAAACTAGACAGCTACCTGTGGGCTTTAAATAAAAGATCCTGACTAATAAAACAGGTGAACTTAGTCCTCAAACGAAGATCATCTCACTCCATTCTAAACTCATGCGTCTCTCATATTTGGTTTAAATATAACGCATATAGGTGGCCTTCCTATATCAGTTGATAATTATAAACTATGGTATAGATGGAGAAATGAGGTACAACCTTTTCATATAAATACATTAAATATACAATATGATATACAACTGTACATGATCAATTCAATAATAAAAATAGTTACAATTACAATTCAATGATGTGTCACATTTTTTCACTCAGACGTAGAGGGAGGGTTAGAGGGTCCGGGCTGCTCAGATTGTACAAGGTTTGCTACTACAGGCCTCATGTTGCCGGGGTTAATGATTCTAGCAAACACCTGCTGTCTCCCTTGCACTCCTATTAGAACCAACAGAATCAGTATTGTTCTAATTTTATTTTTTTGTGGTGGAAAACTATATTTAAAATTACAATTTCTAAGAAACATTAATCTTTCAAAATTGAACTAGTTACATAACATAGGCCTGTCATTAGCAGATTTTAAACCATGCCTGATTGTTTTAACTTAACGTTGTTGGTTCAACAATAAGTTATTAAACCCATAAAAATTCAGGGCTCAGAGAGAAATTATTATTAAAGACCTACTTTTAACTAAAAACCGTTAAAGATCAGCGATTTAGGATCTTAACACTATCAATGTTTCAGAAATAGTAAGCAAATAAAGAATTGTAAAGGAATTTTAAACTTTGAAAATTAGGTAAGGGTTCAGCTACATATCTTACCTTTGGCAGAAGGGGAAGGATTGATCGGTATGACCTTGAGGCCCTGCAGCCCCTTGATGTTTAGAGCTGAGGTGCTGAACCCTGGAGGCAACAGTATCTGCTGATTGCCTTGCTGCAGAACTGTGAGAGGCTGCTGAGCTCGCAGTGCTGCAGAGTTGATGTTCTGAGAGGCTAGCAGCACTGTCTGTCCGGCTCCCAGGCTGCCTTGTGAGGCCAATAGCACGTTCTGTCGGCAATACCAAATGTCAAGATAAAAGACTATGTTTTCACTGCAAAATTTCTTTCGTGTTAGGATTTTTTGTTTAGACATTGAAGAGAAGTATTCTTGAAATAGGAAGAACAGTCTGCTGCACCCTCAAATAAATATTTGTACTTATACCCTTACCAGTTTGTTATATGTCAGGGCACTGGTGCTGGACATGCATGGATGATCTACTATCAAGAAGTACGACTAGACTAGTTATTTAGTATTGGTTATTAAGTGTTGCTGAGGTGGTTGAACCAAAATCTCTAACATTGTCTCCTATCTAATTTGTGCAACATAACGACCAAACATCGGTCAGAGTATATCCACATACCTGTGTCTGTAATGCCTGAGGTTTGCTGGCCAGTAACACAGGTTTGCCACCTATGTGAGCCAGGTTGATGCCACTCATGCGTAGGTTGGCAGCAGTGGCTGTGCCAGACATTAGCTTGCTGGCTGCAGTTGTACCAACTGCTGATCCGCTTACACTCACACTCGCTGTCACCACCGTGTTAGCCGCCGCCTGCATACAGACATGTAAGGTGATTAATTTTTTTTTCATCATTTTTTCATTACTTTATTAACGAAACGAAAAGACAACTAAATTTAAAATAGGCGCAGACTTTCCTAAAAATAGCTTCCTTCGCAGTAGATCGGGCCTTGTGAATTAAGATACAACATTTCCAATTTACAACAACATTTTCAATAATCTTTTTATTTTCTGAAGCCTAAAGATTTGAAGTATGTTTTACTTTAGTAAAACATGGGTTTTTCAATATTTTTGAGCAGTTTAGAAAAACAGAGGAAACATATTTCGATGATTTTTCCAATAACTGGGATTTACCCCCTGGGATTTTGAGTGATACAGTACTGTTAAAAATATGCACAGTAATACCATGGAGTAACAATAGTAAATCTCAAAAATAAAACTAGCAACCGTGTCAAACAGACCTGGGTAAGCTGAGAGGCCTGTATAACCCTGGGCTGGGCCACAGAGACTACAGTGTACTGAGGCTGCATCCCTGGCTTGCTAGAGGCTGTGGCTACTCGCAATGCTGCAAAATAACACCAATCATTGGTCCACAACAAAATCAAACAAGGAGTTAAAAAAGTACTAGGAGATTTCGAATTATGAATCATAAGTATATTGAAGGTACTACAGTACCCTGTACATTTTTGAAAATCCAAGATCAATATTTTCTTCGAGGATAAATTGAATATCTTGGGAGTAAAATTTAAATAATCTAATCCTATATAAATAAAAGAATTGTTTGATATTTGTTTTGTTTACTTGACTAACCTCACTTACTGTGTATCAAAGGAAAGCTCTTACTCCCTAGACATGCATTTCTGGGTGCAAACTAACCAGATAAAAATAAAAACTATCTGAAAATGTCAAGAAAAAATATTAGAATTGTCATCACTCACTCTGAGGCATACTGGTGAGCTGCTTTTGTTGAGGCAGTAGACTCTCCATGGAGATAACAGGTTGACCCTGAGCATTGGTCACCACCTTGGCCACCATGGGCTGAGACTTGAGTAGGTTAGACTGTACTTGCACTCCCGTGCTCATGGACTGTGTGGCTACAACAGCAAACAGTGTTGTTGACTAATGAGTTCCACTTACCAGTGTAGTAGCTCTAAGGTATGTTACATGTGCAAGTTAGATTCCTGTGTGTGTGTGCAATCCATACACACTAATATGTAACAAAATATAGCTAAAGAAAAAAAAATTAAGCATTAATGGGTTGGTAAAATTTACTCATAAGCCTTAACTTAAATTTACAGATGTATTTTAAATTGCACAAATGCAAATAAAAACATCACGATAAAACAACAGAAACAAACCTTGTGGAGCAACTCTGGATTGATTTAACAAACTTCCGGAGGAGGCAACCCGTTGTTGCTGCTGCTGCTGCTGTTGTTGTTGTTGCAACTGTTGAAACTGAGCCAACGAGATAGCCTGCGTCTGGATCTGACCCTGACAAACGCAAAACAAACATTGAACAGGGATTTAGTTACTAATACATTGTGTAAAATATTGCAAAAATGCACAATGACAAATTATAGACAATTGACCATTAGAATATGGGCTACCATTTTCCGATTGACAGAATAACAAATTGACTTAGAGAACAGACCTATATGAAGCCAACAGTCTTACCTTGGCTTGTGTTGATATTCCTGCAGATGCTTGGATCTGCTGTAGCTGTTGCTGTTTGATCAACAACTGCAGTTGTTGCTGAGTGATCTGTTGAGTCTCTGTTGTTATCACATGTTGTTGTTGCTGCAATTGCTGTCCCTGCTGTTGCACAACAAATTGCCAGATAATTTAATTCATGATTAATTTTCAGTTTCTTAAACTACTGCACATCATTAAAACTTATCAAAAATATTGATTAAATTACAGTAGAACCTAGGTTACTCGGGGTAATTGGGGAAAGGGATACTAGTGATAACTGAAAACCACGGTTAGTCCAACATGTCCATAAACAATCCATAAAAAAACACACTGTAAATTGATATTTAATGTCATAATTTGGATTTTGACATAAACAGAATAGACTAATGCACAATTATGATATTTTAAAGTCATTAACTTCAGTTCAGTTAAAAAAACTTAAAAGTTTAAAATTACAATTTTCTCGTACTTAATTAACTAAGGACAAATTAAGGATGTCTATGGAGGATAAAAGTATAAGGAAAAAATTGGTGAAAAAAGTTGGTTTCAATGAGGAGCTAAAACCTGTTTTAATACATCATGTAAGAATTGTATATTCTGACTCTTTACTGAAAAATTATCATAATTAAATTTACCACATGTAGGAAAACTAGCAACTAACTCAAACCTCATAATACTGGTGATAATAAGGAAAAAGTGAGAAAATGTGGCCCAAGATTTTTTGGTGCAGCTAAATATCACCTCCAGCATAAATGGTGCTGGAGAAGAGCAGTAAAAGGTGAGAAATGGTGGGGGATTCTTTCTCCATATTTTCAGACCAAACATACCCATTTTATTTGACTATCTCCAGTAAACCATCTTATCTTAATCAACAACTGAACATACTGTATGTAGTATTCACCAACAAGTTAAACAAATTCCACTATAATTAATCATAGTCAGCATGTCACTCACTCATTTTGATTACATTCTATTGTATTACCTGCTGCTGTTTGACTAGTATCATCTGCTGAATCTGCTGCTGGGGTTTCTGCTGCTCCTGGGCAGTTGTTGTGCTGATTGCACCTTGCTGCTGCTTTACCACAATCATCTGCTGTTGAGCTGCTTGCTTTCCACTCTTCTGCTGCTCTGCCTGATTACAAAACAGGATGTTTGTTGATTTACAATAAAGGATACATCCCTAACTTAACCCACACTCTCTGCTTTAATGTTGACCGGATGGTTGAAATCCTGAAATCTTGAAGCTAAATAAATTTAAGTAGGCCTACCAAGTAGAGGTTACTAACCGCCAACAACTGCTGCTGCTTAGCCAGAAGGAGCTGCTGGATCTGTTGTTGCTGCTGCTGCTCCATGAACTGCTGTTTGTTGAGCAGCTGCTGAAGCTGTTTCTGTTGCTTGGCAGTTAGCTGCTGATCAGTCACTATCTGCTGCTGGTTGATGACTATCATCTGTGGTTGTGTCTGTCCTGAAGCAGGGTCTGCTGGTTGCTTCATCACAATCAACTGTTGTCCCTGCAGCCAATCAGAGAGCAAGATGTTATGTAGTTGTATTTTGGAATTGGGAACAAAAAGGTTTCAGCTAGACTACATGTGCTTCTAGATTAAAAGAAGTACAAACGAATAAGAATTTTACCGTTAACCTCTTAAATGTCCTTGTTAATAATGAACTGATTTTTAATCAAATTAAATATCCAAGAAAAATGAAAAAAAAAGTGAAAAATTGCCTTTAAATAATATGCATAATGTTTGACAAATGAGCACGTTTTCACTTGTGTAACTGTCATGTTCCAATGTGTACTCATACCTGCAGAGCCTGTTGTTGCTGCTGAGCCTTGGTAGTGACAGCAGGTTCTCCAATGTAACTCTGCTGACCCTGTTTGATTAGCATCACCTGCTGAGGAGTCATTTGAGATGGACTCTGGACAGTCCTTACTGTAACAAACACAACAGTATACAGAACTATACTTGGCAAAACCAGACCATAGATAAAACCAGATATAAGCAGATGATAACTCTTAGTAGATTATTCATCCTTATGGAACAGCTGAAGACAATTTTATTGTTAGTTCTGAACGGTGTTCTGCAGAGGCTGTGTTTTATTTACAATTTGTTTGTAGTTAAATTTTGTCGACACTAGTACCCAGTGTCACCGTACATGAACTAGACACGATAAACGAGCTTCAAAATTTACAATTGGGATGAGAAGTCTAGTTGTGTTGGTGAGTCTATGGTAAAACATCCTACTGTGTAAGGTTTTTTGTTTAAAAACCACAACTTAATGAAATAGGCTACTAGCCTAGACAAGTCAAGAAAAAATGTTCAAAATATACAAAAATTACTTAGCGTGTGTGTCTGTGGGTGTATGCAGGAGTTTTTTTTATACAATCTTATTTTCAACAGTACTATTTGCCACCAAACCTTTTTGCAAATTCATTGTAGGATGGATATATCAAACGCTTGTAAAAACCTTTCTGATATCCAGCATAGGCATCAATAAAACTTCAGATGGAAGACAGATTAGGAATTTTTTTTTAAGTTCTTACCACCGGCTTGAGAAGTGAGCATCTTCATCAGTGATTTGGCTGGAGTTTTTGTTGCAGCTTCAGTAGTCTGAGATGCAGGTAAAGTTCCTTTCTTTTTGGCCTAGTAAAATAAATAAACTCTATAATAAACAATGACAACAAAATAGTGTAGGTATAAATTAAGCACTAGTTTTTGGCTTGAATCATAAAATAATGACCACTTCATTCAAATTTGCTCCAAATGATTTCCTCAAGACATTACAATGTTTTTTACCATACAAAAACACAGTTAAAGAAATTTAATTTGTACTATTTCTATCCATCTTAAGGACTGTTCACACCGGCGTAGCCAGACGTATTAATACTTTTTCGAAATACATAGCTGACGTAGCTCTTAATGTAATTCATAGAGAGTGTTCACACCGGCGTATTAATACGTGAGCTACGGCGCTGCCGCTACGCGTAGCTCACATAGCCGAATACGCGCATGCGCACTAGCACACCGGGCTATCACCGCCACCCTCCCTCCACCTCATAATTAATTTATACGTGGTAAATGTTGGACTAAAACATACAAATTTACTATCACTTAAAAATCATTAAATCGCATAATCTATTACATTCAAATTAGACTATAACATAACAATCTTAAGACAACTTTAGATAATCAATATAATAATACTTCATTATACAAGTCTAATGTCCACAAATTTTTTTTGTCTATGAGCGCTTGCAAATCTCCTTATCAAAAACAATGTCTCTCTTTTAATATGGTTTATCATGGTTCATATAGTGGGCTGACATTTATGAAACATTAATGAATTATTTCTAGATATAGGCCTACGTCTTACTTACACCATAGACTATTTTATTATGTAATCCCTATGGATGAGCAAAATTATTGCATGTTTTCTGGTAATTTTTTTTATATTATAATATAGCGCAAATCTTATAGTCTACTATATTCGTCCTAAAATTAGAGTGAAATATTTTTGTCAAGATTAACACATGAATCAACAGACTTTTCACGGTACTAAAAGCTGCAATTGAACCGTCAATCTTAACTGAAATTCGTGAAACACTAATAAAAATAAACAATAAATTAACAAATATGAAATAATATATCAAAATAAACAAACAACAGCCGGCTCACCGGCTACGTAGCCGTCAGACGTAGCTGCGGTGTGAACAGTACACTGGCGACGTATTAATATAGGTACCGAATACGTCTGCAGACGTCTGGCTACGCCGGTGTGAACAGGCCTTTAATTGGTTATAGCCTTTTGACGCTGGATACAACAAAACTCATTCAGACTTGTACGCTGATAAAACAGAAAATAATTCAAACTTGTTAAATGTTTTGACGGTTTTTAAAAACAGAATAAGTAGGTCTATCTTGCAAAGCAGCAAAAATCTGTTGACTCGAGGTAACCATTCAGTTCACAGAATTTTAAATTTGAATCGAAGCATTTTTATCCTCATAATTGCCAATGAAGTGAACAATTAAAATTTACCAGATTTCTGTTCCGAAAATTTTTGTTGGTGTGGTATTTGACCTATATGTATTCCTGCCTACATAAATGTAGGCTATGACTTTTAGGTGCAAACATATTTATTTTTAATCAAAAATTAGAAGAACCTATAGGCCTACTGCTGGAAATGACAGTCAGCTTGCCTACTACATGATTTTTATGTACAGCATAGGCTATTGTTGAGCATGGTACCTACCTATTTTATATAATTGATTTTACAGCTAAAGATTGATGTCAACAAATAAAGACTTTAGGGTTTTTACTGAAACATTCAATTGGTTTACACCGATAGAATAAGACTTACAAACTTCAAGATCAACTCTTTATTGACAAAGTACAACTAAATTTAGTGCCTATTTGAAAACTTTTGGACAAGCTTAAGGTGTTTTGTAAAGGAAGTAATCTTAAAACTTTGGCGAGTTTAAAGTTGACAGGTCTAAATTTAGATTTACTCGCTGATTATGAGCTACCGGTACTGGTATCTAATTCTATGCTAATTGAGAAAGGAATGAGAGGAGGTATTTCCCAAGTAGTACCTATCTAATTCATTTTAGTGAGGTAAAAAACAAATACATTGAAGGTGTATCTTCGGATGTTAATGACTAAATGATGACTCAGAATCTAGTTGGTGAATGTACTATCTATATAAATAATGATATAATAAACTTACAAAATTATGCCGACATGAATAATTTGTATGGCTGAGCAATGGTACAGTATATGCTGATGTAAACAATTTGTATGGATAGGCAATGTTTAATCTTATGCCAACATAAGTAAGTAAGTAACTTGTATAGCTAGGCAATGTTAGAATATATGCTGTCATAAAAAAAACTTGTATGGTTTGGCAATGTCACATTAAATATGCCTTATAATCTATCCCTTCCGGCATGAATCAAATCATTAACTGCCATAGAATCTAATGGAATTTTGATTAGTTTTCTATGCATCGCCTCTAGGATATTTTTCGATTTCATATAGCCTACAGTATGTGTGTTTAAATTATTCTGACGATGGATTAAAAAGTACCCTGACTACTGCTATACAAAGCAAGTTTGGCAAGCTCTATTTCACCCTGCTACATCACTAAAATATAAAGGATTGTCTGACAAGGTATGTTTATTTTAAGCTATTGTTTGTCATTTCACACAGTTCTTAGGCTATAATACCCCCGCCGCAGCAAACCTGCAGACTAAGCGAATTTCCATTTCCCTGAATGGATTTACACTAAAATGTCTCCTTAAAAATATCACATTTATTCCCTATTTAAATAGAATCAGTTTAAAACATACTTAGGTTTGCTGCAACAGGGAGGGTAAAAGTGTTTTTATGTAAAATGTTAATAGTTAGTAAGAAATAAAAACATTTTCCAAATTTTGGCAAAATATGTTTATAAACAAGCAAACTACAACAGTTTACTTATTCTCCATAAGAATAACATGGGAATTTTAAATTTACAATTTTTTGGAATTTTCTCCGTAACCATTAGGCACATTATAACGCTTCAATATACTAAATTATTTGTTTTTTTAAGCTCTACAATATAGTTTCGAAAGAAATTGCAAAATTTTATGTTTTTTGGGTCAAAAATGGGAAAAACCCATTTTTACCCCATAAAAGCCCCCATAAACCCCCGTTCCCATGGTCCGATCATGCTAGTTCGCGAACTCGTTCGAATAAACGTAGGTTTACACGTTTGTACCAAATTTAATCAAAATCGGATCATTTTTGCTCGAGTTATCGCGCTAACGGACACATATATATATATAAATATATATAGGCTATATATATATGAATTTGAACGGATGGTGTTTTTGACCTCTAGGGACCTCAAAACGAAAAAAAAAATCGGTCCCGGGTCCAGGTCTTACCGTGAGTACTACGGTAATAGCTTATTCCCTATATGGGAAATTCGCTAAAAATGAATTAAAGTACAGACTGTACATACCACAGCCAAAGGATCCAACACAGAAGTTTCCTTCTTGCCTCTCTGCACCACTGGAGGGACAGGATTGTCGGGAATTCTTCTGACTGCACTTGACCCACTAACTGGCGTGTCCACTATCCTTCTCACTGCACTAGTACCACTGACCGGTGTGTCAACTATCCTTCTAATAGCAGAGAGCGCAGGATCTTTCACAGCCTTTGTTGTTTTCGCAACTTTCGCACTGGCAGCTTGTTTCTGCTTGTTTGATTTACCCAAAATCGATTTGGTGGCATCCGGAGTTTCATGTCTGGTGGCTAAAACGGTTTTGACAGCCGGGACAGTTTTGACAGCCGGGACGGTTTTGACAGCCGGCACAGTTTTGACAGCCGGCACGGTCTTCACAGCTGGAACAGTTTTCACAGCTGGGACGGTTTTCACGGCTGGGACGGTTTTGACAGCCGGAACAGTTTTCGGTGCAGGCGTGGTCTTCGCAGTAACTGTTGCCTTGGCAGCAACAGGTTTCTTTGCAGGCGCAAAACTGGCAGCAGTTATAAGTGATTTTTGCACACCTTGACCAATGATACGTTGCTGTACAACCAACGGGGATGTTACTACAGGAGGGTTTGAAGCTATCGTCGGTGTCACCTTCTCTAGCGGCTCTGACTTTACTTCGACACTACTTATGTCCGGCATAACTTGGCTCTGAAACAGGAAGGTATAGAACGATTAGACCTTTTCAATTTGAGAGAAAGAATAGAAAATGAAGAAGTGTAAACATTCAATAACTCTAACACACAAGTCTGTCTTTGAATGAAGTTCTTGAAGAATCAATGAGATTAATAGAGGATTGGAAGAAGATATAAATTTTGTACTCACACTTTTTAAGTTAATAACTTTAAGCTTTTAACAATTGTAAAAAAATGTTATAATTATTTATGAATACAGGACGACATTTAACTGTAACAAGTCTAGAAATTGGACCAATCCCTCACAGGAAAAGTTAAAAGTGCTACTGGTGTTGAGAATTGTATGCAAACCATGTACACTGTACTTACATTATCAACAGTGTGAAGTTGCACCCAAGACGACTGTTGCTGAGGTAAGCTGACGCTTACATTGGTATTGACATTCTTTGCTGTGTTGGCAGTACTAGCGGTCTTTGTGGGTTTGGTGGCTGCCTTGGTCGCCCGTTTCGATGGAGGTTTGGGAGTTGGTTCTGGCTTAACCTCCGCTACCCCTGCCGCAGCCAGTACCTACACAGTGCAGGGTGAAAATCTAGGGTCTAAGCTGATAAGATTCACAAACATTGAAAAAATTACAGCAAAGTAATGGGCGATACTTAATTGAAGAAGGTGATGGTTTAGATGACGGGCATTTTGGATCGTATTATTTGTATAATTGACTTAAGTTAACAGAAAATGGTGTCATAGTTTTCTTACAAAACCCCCTTAGCATTTAATTTATGCCTGAATAATTAGAGTGAACTTGAGAGAAAAAAGATTACCTCTTATTAATTAAAAAAAGTAGCACTCATATTTAGTACAGAATATGACTCCCCCCTCCACTAGGGCTATCAATAATACATCTAAGATATTGGTTCTCCAATCATTCACACCTGCAGGGTTCTCCTAGGCTAAAAATGTCAATAGAAACTTTAAAAGGTGCAGGTACTGTAGAACAGTTTAATATAGTGATGGGCGGATCCAAGAAAATGTCGGTACCGGATCCGGATCTTGAAAAATTCGGATCCGGATCTTCGGATCTTCGGATCCGGATCCAGATACACACTGTCATAAGGGCGGGTTAAAAAAAAACGTAATTAACAGAATGCCAATTTAAATCATACTTTTATTATTTTTTATCACGAAGCATCGGGTGAGATTAAAATACTAACGGGATATTTTTTTGACGAAATTATAGGCCGTTAGCTTATCATCCAGGTACAAAACTAAAAACTAGAGGTGTGAAGATATCCGAAAAATCGGGTCGGATTCAGTTCGGAAAGATACATGCCATTGCCATATATGTTATTTATTTGTATCAAGAGACAAACATTGAAACATGGCCTTGCCATATAAGTTATTTGCACCAAGAGACAAACACTAAGACATGACCTTGCCATATAAGTTATTTGAATTAAGAGACAAACACTGAGTCATGGCCTTGCCATATAAGTTATTTGCATCAAAAGACAAACACTGAGACATGGCCTTGCCATATAAGATATTTGCATCAAAAGACAAACACTGAGACATGGCCTTGCCATATAAGTTATTTGCATCAAGAGGCAAACACTGAGACATGGCCTTGCCATATAAGTTATTTGCATCAAAAGACAAACACTGAGTCATAACCTTGCCATATAAGTTATTTGTACCAAGAGACAAATACTGAGTCATGGCCTTGCCATATAAGTTATTTGCATCAAAAGACAAACACTAAGACATGACCTTGCCATATAAGTTATTTGAATTAAGAGACAAACACTGAGACATGGCCTTGCCATATAAGTTATTTGCATCAAGAGGCAAACACTGAGACATGGCCTTGCCATATAAGTTATTTGCATCAAGAGGCAAACACTGAGACATGGCCTTGCCATATAAGTTATTTGCATCTAGATACAAACATCGAGACGTGGCCTTGCCATATAAGTTGTTTGCATCAAGAGACAAACACTCGGGGAAAAAACGGTCTTGTACATGGATACAGACAGCTTTGTGTTAGTAAAAAAATCAGGAAAAAATCGGGGTTGTACAGTGATACAGACAGCTTTGTGTTAGTTAAAAAAAATCGGTGTTGTACAGTGATACAGACAGCTTTGTGTTTAGTAAACAAATCGGGGTTGTACAGTGATACAGACAGCTTTGTGCTAGTAAAAACATTGGGGGTTGTAGAGTGATACAGACAGCTTTGTGTTAGTAAAAACATTGGGGCTTGTAGAGTGATACAGACAGCTGTGTATTAGTAAAAAAAATCGGTGTTGTACAGTGATACAGACAGCTTTGTGTTGGTAAAGAAATCGGGGTTGTAGAGTGATACAGACAGCTTTTTGTGTTAGTAAAAAGTGGGGGTTGCACAGTGATACAGGCAGTTTTTTGTCTTAGTAAAAAATCGGGGTTGTACAGTGATACAGACATCACTGTAACATATAGAATAATAATAATACTAATATAATATATATATATACTAATAAATTATTATATAATATAATAATAATACTTTGTGTTAGTTAAAAATCGGGGTTGTACAGTGATACAGACAGCTTTTTGTGTTAGTAAAAAATCGGTGTTGTACAGTGATACAGACAGCTTTGTGTTTAGTAAACAAATCGGTGTTGTACAGTGATACAGACAGCTATGTGTTGGTAAAAAATCGGGGTTGTACAGTGATGCAGACAGCTTTTTGTGTTAGTAAAAAATCGGTGTTGTACAGTGATACAGACAGCTTTGTGTTAGGAAAAAATCGGTGTTGTACAGTGATACAGACAGCTTTGTGTTAGTAAAAAAATCGGTGTTGTACAGTGATACAGACAGCTTTGTGTTTAGTAAACAAATCGGGGTTGTACAGTGATACAGACAGCTTTGAGCTAGTAAAAACATTCGGGGTTGTAGAGTGATACAGACAGCTTTGTGTTAGTAAAAAAATCGGTGTTGTACAGTGATACAGACAGCTTTGTGTTAGGGAAAAATCGGGAAAAGATTTGAAAAAATCGGATCCATCAAAACCGGATCCAGCCCAAGATCCGGAATTTTTTGGATTCGATCCGGTGCCGGTTCTAGCTCGGATCCGGCGGATCCGGTAGTCCGATATCCGGATCCGACCATCACTAGTTTAATACTAACCTTTGCTCGATGGGCCTTGCGAGGGTTCTTGGGCTTTACTGCTTTTTGTTGTTCCTGGTGTATTCTCTCAAACTCTTGTTCTGTACGAGCCCTGTAAATAATTTCAAATAAAAATCTACATCTAACACAATTACTAAACTTAAGATAAGACTGCAAATGAATGGTAAAACAGATGACTTGAGACAAAACTGACGGACAGGAATGTTACTGACCTATGCAGATATATCCAAATCTTGCGCTTGGTATCATATTTAACACATGGGTCAGGCTCGTAGTGCAGCCTGTCCAAAGCTCCGCTAACTACAGAGTTCAGGTCACTGTCAGGTGCATTCTCTATGATATATTGAGAGTCCCTCATCAGTGTACAGATGTCGGACCTCGTACCCTGGCCATTGGGTAGCCTTGCTGTAGCGTCCCTTACTGAAAAGTAAAATTTAAACTTTAGTACAAAAACACAACAAAGAGCATCAAATTAACTTGGTCTTAAAGATTAAAACAATTTTTTAGGAGACAAAGACTTCAGAAGAGAAATCAGTATGTATAATACTAGCCTATGGTGAGAACAAAATGACCAACTAAATAGTAAATATTTACAATAACAAAACTTTCACCCTCAATACTGACGGATGTATAGCCTCTCACCTAGAGCCAGAATGGTGATGAAGTTGGGTCTCGTCTCATTCAGCAAAGAGTGACCTCTGGCCTTGTTGCTGCCAACTGCCTGGAAGTACATCCCTTTCACTGGGCCGACCACAGATTCGTACCCGTGTAGTCGGTATGTGAACGCCTTGTGTGGATTCTCATACCTCACTCTTTCCTGTGGACAGAGGGAGTGTTTCATATTATAAACTGTAGGAGTGTTCATAACAGTCAGTATACTGTAATAGCACATGATTGATTACAATAGAATACAATGAGTTAACTAACATATACAAATACAAAAACAACTTTATGAAGCTAGGCTAGCTAGGCCTCTGTTTTTAGTTATTTCAAAGTTAGGTAAACAAATTTGATTGAGATGTAGTAGTTTTAAAATATGAATATAATTTGTATAATTTATCAGTTAATACTTGACAAACAGCACTCTTCTGGTGATCTGAAGCTTAGAAGAGAGAAGGTTGCTGACCCTGCTCTATTTAACTCATAGTAATCGGCAAATGGATATAAGTAAGTGTGTAACAAGATAGTATCATCAGTACAGTATGTGTGCATTATGCTTTAACCATTCAAAACTTTTCTACAGCATGTAAATTACCTACGTTGAAAGAAAAGATCTCCATTAGCGTTTTGCACATTTCAAAATGCTGAGAAAACTGTTTTTACCAAATATACACAAAATAATTTCAGATAACACATTTTGGTTCAAAGATTAGAACAGATTATATTTCTATGATGCCGACAAATCAGAATACTCATTTCAAGGCAAAAATCAGTAAAGTTGAAGGATGAAACAGCTTTGAGTAGATCATCTGGTCCTTTAGCCCAATGATCAAGGACAACTGAACCTAGTTTCCAGAAGCCATAGCCATCAAAAGCTTCAGCCTTTTCTCAGGATCAAACTGGAAAGTGTCATCTTACCTGTTCTCTAAACACTTCCCGGTCTTCAGGTGAGGAGAGTTGAACAGTCCACTGTGTAGGACAGCGAGGTGGAGGGGGGGAAGCCATCAGCTGTCTATCTCCCACCATCACCCCTTCTTCCTCCTCCTTGATAGGTCTAGCTGCCATGTCCTCCCTCCTCTCCGTCCAGTGACGGCACAGAGCCACCAGGTGTGTGTCAGTGTCTCGGCCCGCTCCTATCCACTGGTATGAGCTTATCGCAGCCTTGTAGTCTATGTAGGGCACAAAGTCATCAGGATGCCACTCTGAAACAATGTAGATTGATAAGTCATGAGATGGTTTAAAACTGGACCCAGCTGTTCCTGATCATTGGGTTAAAAAATGATCTTGGCTAATGAAACAGCTGATATTAGTCATACAGTTACACAGATGGTGTGAGACACTCATCCTTCGCTAATATTTGGGTTGAAAATGCATTCACCTAGGTGGAGCACCCATCTCAATAGATGATAATTATTGATATAGGCGCTGATTTAGAGTAATACAAATAATGTTAAAAGACAAAATGGCAAATTTAAATTCCCTATTTTGTATATTGTAAGATGTTAAGCAAAGGAAATCCAGAATAAAATTATAAGAATCAGTTGCCCAGATCACATCAATCAAGACTGTGCTAAATTATTAAAAAAATTTGTTTTCCATGAATTGTTTGTGTTTTAAAAGTTAACAAAAAGTTAAGTCCCCAAATGATAGTTCAACAGAATTCAAAAAGTACATTTTAAGGACATAATAATTGCAACTCTTACTGACTACAGTACTGACATTCCATTCCTATGTTAAAGTTTCAGCCTAGAACATTATGAACATATTTATATTGAGAAATTGAATGAGATGAAGAATGAAGATTACGGATTTCTGTTGAACATTTTTATCTGAAAGAGCACCTTATTGTAAATATAATCTTTTATATTACACAACTATCATTGTAGGCTATGTTGAAGTATAATACAGAATAGTAAGTAGAACTCCATCCCTATATTAAATTTGTAGGAGCTAGATTTTTTATCAAAATCGTCGTAGTTGATGTGAGCAACCTACAGATTGCGCTGATCTAAATTACGAAATTCTGTTGAATACACAATCTTTTTTACCAAATCAAACTTAGGGAATCACTTAAGATGAGTTATAGCAACTGTTTTGACCCATCAACCTGGTCAGCAACAAAAAATAAGGTATAAAATAGAATTTTAGATACTAGGGCATTCTGAGACTGGCTCACATAACTATGTTCTTTTTTTAATAAAAAATTGGCTACAGCTGGTGCATATAGATGGGAAGTCTATCCAATAGTCAATCGTAGAACAATCATGCTCTGTTATAATTAAAAATTAAAATTTGCCCCATCTGGTCCATATATCCATCATGGTCTGTCCTGGTTATTATAAGTTGTAGGTACTCACCCGGGTATTCTCCAGCCAGAAAAGCGAGAGCAGAATGCAGGTAAGCTGTCAAGTTAGACGCTGTCGCACTATACCACTCATTGAGAGGACTGATGGGACTGGCGGCCCAGGCTCTAACTCGGTCCTCCAGTGTTACTAACGTCATACGATGTTCTGGTGTGGAGCAGATGATGTCTCTCAAAAGGGAGAAGAAACAAGCGTGCGTCTCCTGCATCAACTCTGGCCTATCTATTAGCTCCGGTCTGCAAACAATAACAAATTGAGGAAAAAAAATCACAGCATAGATTTTACTGAGAAAAGATTCTAGACCAGGATCAAGGTTTTTAGGTTAAAGGTATAGTAGCTGGCTTGCCAGAGGTAAAGTCCTCATTGGCAAATTTGTTAATTTAATGTCGGCCCTAGGCCATGATTGAGATTCTTATGATAAAGGGCATAGCATAGCAACCAGTTTACCCGAGAAAAGGTAGGCCGCAGTGCACACAGGAAACAAACAATACTTCGTCCCCTGGAAAACTTTGTCAAAAAGGGCGTAGCATAGCAGCTAGTTTACCCGAGAAAAGGTAGGCTGCAGTGCACACAGGAAACAAACAATACTTCGTCCCCTGGAAGACTTTGTCAAAAAGGGTGTAGCATAGCAGCTAGTTTACCCAAGAAAAGGTAGGCCACAGTGCACACATGAAACAAACAATACTTCATCCCCCGGAAGACTTTGTCAAGTGTAAGACAAAGGGAGATGAATAATTTTTGTCAAAATCATCCAAACATCCAAATTCCCAAGAGGACAAAAGATTGGGTCTTTGGGTGTGCATATAAAAAAAAATTATAATTCGTTATCAGAAACATATAAATACTGTGGTTTGACCAAGTTATGTAAAATGTAACTTTGTCACATCCGTACAGATTGTCTTATAATTTCTTAGGCTAAAAACACTTGTTTAGCTATTTAACACATTGTGCCTCAACTTGTTAAATGCTTTATCATTTATCAAAATTTCATTGCTTACTAACCAAATTGGAGCATAAGTTTACATCTTCAATCTGGGCTTTGCGATCATCTGGACTTTGCGATCTTCTGGGCTTTGCACCAGAAGTACATGTTCCAGCCACTAGATCAGATACGTCTCATTTGCAACAGATATGCAGTGATTTTAATGTAAAAAAAATGTAAAATTGTTAATCTTACTTGATGTCTTCAGGGCTGAACGTCATTTCTCCCTCTTCTAGATCTACCGGGAGGTCCATCATGTCAATGCCATCTAAATCTGACAGGGTGGCTGGTGTTAACATGCGAGCTGAAAAATATTTATACTCTGGTCATTACTTGCAAAAAAAAAAGTTTATTAAAACAATAATCATTATAATTAGTCTCAAGTTAGACCATAAATTTAAAGTAGTAAATAATATTATAACAAGTTAAATATATTTAGCAAACTGATTACTCAAAAGTAAGCAGAGAACACAAAGAAATATTATAAATTATGTTAATTCTTATAGTTTCTATAACAAAAATTCCTAAGAAAAGTAGTAGATCTACTTGAATCTTAACACATCTCTTATGTTAATAAATAAATAAGTACATTGATTGAAACTCACTGATAGTCTGTGGTTTGGGCTGCAGTATTGTGTGTGTTGGTGGGGGCAGTATGGGAGGAACAGGTGGTGGGGGAGGTGGTGGCGGAGGTGGTGGGGGAGGCGGTGGGGGAGGCAGGGCGGGAGGAGTAGGTGGAGGATCTTCCGGTAGCTCCAGTTTGATTCTTCGAGTACTCAGGGTTTTCCCAGCAGTTGATATTTTAGCTATCCTAGGGGAGCTGAAATAATACGTTGTGGTTATGTTAAAGCAAACAATGGACATATTAATCAATTACAAGACATAAAAAACTTTCAAAATAGGCTACAATAGTTTTTATATCTTGATCTTTGGTTATCCAATCTTTCATACGATTAAGTAAAAGTAAGCATATGCTATTTATGTTTGGTTTGACAGTACACTGCAGCGGGTTCGACAAAAACCCCTTTTGCCTTCCTTGTCTGTACTTAGAATACGTTTAGTGCCAAGGGCTTTAGGCACCTGAACTTGACTGTACTTAATGATGGTTTTAGCTTGATGCGTACAACACAGTTCATATAATATGTATATTAGCATACCTCTCAACTGACCCTACTGTCTTAGTCTTGACCTGAGAAGTGTGGCGGAATGGATGAGTATGACGTTTGCTGATACAGTGGTCATGTTTACTTTGTCTGGTATTTTCTATGATTGAGCGGAGCGAGCGAAGCGAGCGAAGCTCTTATACTACACTCCTGCTTTTTTTAATTTTGTAGCATGGAAAAGTTAGTGGTCTTAAACTCTAAGTTTGTGAAAAAACATACTCAAAGCCTCAAATAGGTGTGACAAAAAACCCTATCAATTCAATGGATTTTAAAATGTCTACAGTAGTTATTCTGTTTGTTGTTTTCCGATCTTGCCGCACACTGGTTGAGATCGGATGATCAAGACTACATGGTTCAGTTACAGATTAATATATACAAGATCCAACAATCGTAGGAATAGTGTATTGTAAAATTTGTATACAAAAAATTAAAATATATACCTTAATAATCCCTCAGATGGAGCACAACTACAAAAGTATACCAATATTCAGATGGATGAGCGTTTTATTTTTCAAACAGGTTTCAGTACTGTCAGTCCTTGAAAGCAAACACTGTTCACTTAAAACTAGTTTGGAATGGAGAGTCTTCAACACTTTTTTTCTTATACAAATACAATAAAACTCTAAAGAAAAGTCATACCTGGGTCCAGGTGTACTGACTGCTACAGCCAGTGGTCTGAAGACGGTCGTGGTGGTTGGTGTGGATGTAGACGAGTAAGGTAACGAACTGTCATCATCCCCTTCGACATCCACTTTATCTGTGTCTCCATCTTCTGATTCTGACGTCCCATCAACTTCCGGCTCATCTATCCTCTGTATACAAAGTGTAACATTAGCAAACACAAGCAGTATTCCAATTCCACCCTCAGCTTATTAAAGGTTGGTGTCGCCATTTTGTGATCTATGATCAAGAGGGGTTCAATTTTTATTATTGAGTAGGACAAGCCTAGTCCTTGACTAATTTTTTAAGAGAGAGAAGGGAAATTCTACTACGCATACAGGTGGCCAGCCTGTAGTGTGAGACTCCTGAATGTATCAGAATTTTCAGAATACACAATAAAAAAAAAAACCCCTCTACTCTGTTGGACTTAGACCTAGATTGTTTGTCAAATTACTTCAAGTCAGGCCAACATGTAACCTCAGCCCTCGAACAGTTTCTGGCATTTAGATTCTTTATGATCTACACCGTATCACTGTCAAAATAGAGCTTGTTGGTGCAGAGAATACCCTTGATGAAATGTGAAACACACAGATCTAATTGTCCTCACCCTCCGGAGGTCTACAAAATGACCGCGTCCATCGACAGCAGTCCTACACACAGTTAAGCCTCCAGGCGGGGCCCTTCCCAACGCAGGCTGCGGAAGAAAGTATGTTCCGTGTCATCAGGGTTCCCGGGCAGTAGAGGCAATCTGGCTTTGCCCATCTTGAACAGGTAGGACCAGAAAAAGCCACAATCCATCATTAATCGGGTGAGGTAATACTTCATCTCCCTGTACCGCCGATTAACCCAAGGTTGTACTTGCTCTATCAGTTGCCTTGTCCAGCATCCCCGTGTCTCCTGTTCCTAGCTCTCCTGCCACAACTGCAAATGTGTCTGGTGCAAATGTGTTCCTCTGTTCTTGTCTGGTCCTCCCTACGCCACTGATGAATTGCCTTCCTCTCCGTCACCAAAAGTTTGACGGTGATGACTCCAGTAAACACCAGGGCTTGGACACTTGGGTGCTACCCTTAGTGCTGCCTGACGTGAAAGCAGGCGAGCCCCATCACGTATACCTTCTTATTGAGAGCGTCTGCCCAGACATCCGCACCGTACAAAAGTACCGATTACATTCTAAAAGCGTCTTGATTCTTTACCATAAACACCTTAACTAAGGAAAATCATCATTAGGTAACAAATTAGCCCAAATAAAAATGGGAACTACAAAACAAATAAGTAAATACAAAAAATATATTCAATTTAATAATAGTAGCAATCAGATGACTGTTACCTGTAATGAATCCAAGAGTAAAGATGATGAAAGTTTCAACTTTGGTTTCTTTGCAGGAGGTTTTAAATCCCTAGCGCTAAAAGTCTTTCTCAGTTGACACCTATATAATACATCGTTTGCGGTAATTCCCTTTGTTTCAAGATCAGGATGGTTCTGAAAATGAAAATCCACACTTTGAATGATAAGACAAATGCTAGTAGGATGAAAACTTAATAGCATATATTACATTTAACAATTAGATTTAATGACATGAACCGTGTCTGTCAATAGCTTGGAATAGACATCATCATCGTCCCTGCAGCCACGGAAACGTCATCATAATTTTTTGTCTGTGGATATGTAGATATCACTTACAGAGATTACAGAAACATAATCAATGTATCCGTGTTCGTGTCAAAAGCGTGAATATATTGACCGTGCGAACTTCTTAGATGTTTAAGGACAAATTCCGTACATTTCATGGCCAGACCGAAATTAAGTCAAATTCCTGGTTTTCCTGTTGACACCTTCCTGACAAATTCCTGGTAGACACCTTGAAGAAAACCTTTAAAAGGAAAAGTAGAAAAAGACTTAGATGTTTAAGTTATTCAATTTTTAGCAGACATTAGATTTTGTTTTAGAAACTATTGTGACCTAGTGGTTCTAGATCAAAAAGATTTTGGTAGAACTTGGAAATGGCAAGTGTAAAAAAACGTGCAAGTGTGATAACAAGTACCGGTATATACAAATCGGCAATTGAAATGATTGCGTGAGTAAATCCACTAGGGGTGTGCGATGCATCGAAATTTCGATTCGATTCGATGCATCAAAAATGCATCGAAATTTCGATTCGATTCGATGCATCGAATCGCGATTCGATTCAGTGGTGGTCAAAAATTCGATTCGATTCATGAGGGAGTCAGTATCCATATACGAAAAACGCCTGCAGAAAGTCAACGCAATACCCGCAATACAGGAGCGCGTTGCTGTTGCGTTTCCTTTACGAAGGCGTTCTTATTTAATACATTCTTTGCATTAAATATAGCTTTAATTGTTTTATATTTTTTCGTTTTGACATTGCAAATGATGAGAGGTTTTGTTTTTTGTCTTGATGTAAGCAGTGTGAAAAATATTTTACTACTGTAAACTTAGCCAAAACAAGATAGGTCACTCCAAAATGATTTTAAAAATAAGTCTGAAAAATTGTTACTTAATACTTAACTAGTAAGATTAATGTTATAGACTGATACATTTGGTATTTTTGTTAGTGGTCTGCCGGTCCCAATTTTTGTTCAAGCAAGAGAAAAAAAAGAATAATTTATTTCCAAAGAAACACTCTTATATTATTATATCTATTATTACAGAGGAATTAAAATGTTCAAATGAGAATTAAAGATTAGTAAGTTGGCTCACGAATAAAGACACAACAGAGCAATTGCCGCACTGCCACTAGCCAGAGCTAGTCTAGTCGTCTACTGACAAGACTGACAAGACAAAAGCTGTTACGCAACACTAACAGTGCAAAGAAAACAAAGTCAAAAGAATAGACTATTTATCCAGACATACTAGTTTAATCATTTATTATTTATTCCATACCTAATTTAAAATATATTTTAGTATTTTACATAATAAATTATAAACAAAATAAATATCTGATATAGTGAACAGATCTGTATCTTGGTTAGATGGGGTTAAAAAAATATATTTCTAAGATCCAATACAATATTTACAACTCACAAATTACAATGAATTAATTTCTTTGAAAATGATCTGTAACAGTTTTGTTTTTGAATAAAGAAATATATTTTTTTGTCTCTACTTCCTTGTTTCATCACTTGCATTTTGTCAGCAATTGAAGCAACTGGGTAGCAACGGGTGGTGTAAGAGGGGAGGGGTAGGGTCTATGACCTTGAATGAACACATCGTTGCCTGGGCTTGGCTGGGGAGAGTGATTCATTGTTTTTGTTGACATACTACTACCCTTCCTTCAGAGAAAAAGACCCTGCTGTTCCAAAAACATTGAGGGTAGTTTAAAAACATTGACCTGTGTTGCCAAGGGCATTAGAAGTTAGCATTTAACTTTCTTATCTCTTGATTTAATATTATTTTAATCTACTATATATTATTTAAGAGTTACTTTTCGGGTACCTAATTAATTGTGATTTTGTTTGGCTTTATTTTATGGATTTTTATTTCATTCATTAGCTATCAAAATCAGTTATTTTAGGATTTTAATCTCTTTCAGTAGGTTTTGTATCATGTCATACTACTGTATGACATGATATGCATTTTTTACAGTCCTTAATAATTATACCATAAACAATGTTTGTGTGTTATTTACTGTTTTAGCGAATTTCCCTATAGGGAAGTAGCTATTACCGTAGGTCTCATGGTAAGACTTAAGGCCGGGACCGATTTACTTTTTCATTTTGATGTCCCCAGAGGCCAAAAACACCATTCGTTTAAATTTTTATATATCTATATATAGATATATATATATATATATATATATATATATATATATGTGTCCATCCGCACGATAACTTGAGTAATTTTTGTCCGATTTTGATAAAATTTGGTTTGAAGGTGTAAGGCGGGATAAACTTGAATGAGTTCGCGAACCAGCATGATCGGACTATGGGAATGGGGGTTTATGGGGGGTTTTATGGGGTAAAAATAGGTTTTTCCCATTTTTGACCCTAAAAACACAAAATTTCACAATTTCTTTTTAAACCATTTTGTAGAGCTTAAAAAAACAAATAATTTAGTATATTGAAGTGTTATTATGCGCCTAATTGTTACGGAGAAAATTCAAAAAAATTGCAATTTTAAAATTCCCATGTTATTCTTATGGAGAATAAGTCAACTGTTGTAGTTTGCTTGTTTATGAACATATCTTGATCAAATTTTGAAAATACATTAATTTCTTACTAAACCACAGTACCTTTTAACATTTTACATAAAAAAAAACTTTTTACCCTCCCTGTTGCAGCAAACCTAAGTACTCATTAAACTAATTCTGTTTAAATAGTCAATAAATGTGATATTTTTAAGGAGACATTTTAGTTTAAATCCAATCAGGCAAATGGAAATTCGCTAAGTCTGCAGGTTTGCTGCGGCGGGGGTATTTTAGTTTTATAGTAGGGCCTAAATTAGTTTAAACACAATATCTTTTCTTCAATGAGTTCTCCACTTGTCATGTTGCTTAGTACACTTTTAGGACTTTTTTAGGTCCTATAAAAAATAATGCCTATGTAAAGCTGTAGGCCTACTAACTGATGCCAATAATAGATAATTCTTTATTTATGATGATGTAACAAATAATGTAAGTGTGAGGTTATTATACTAAGGAGGTTAGGAGGCAGGGAATGAATGATACATATTGCATGGTGGAAACATATTATTTTTATTTTCTTCTTGCTTGCAGTCCTGAAGCAGGTCCACAGGATATGTAGGCTAAATTTATTTCTTAATGGTCTTGTTATATTAAGTTCCATTCAAATTTGTTGTAATTTAGCTGACGGTACCTATTTAGTTATTTAAACAGTTATTAAAATGAGAATTAATGTCTTGATAAAAAAAATATTTTCTTCTTTCTTGCAATTGAGCCAATTCCAAGTAAAAATTATGAAATAGGCAAGTAAACCAGCTCACAGGTTATTCTAATCCCTATGATTGAAAATAAATATTTTTTCACCTAAAATTCATATGTTAAGTATGAATAGGCCTAATACCACATCAACAAAAATTTGCATTACACAAATGTGGTAAATTTTAATTATTGTTAATCCACTCAATTGACAATTATGAATAGAAAAATACCGTATTGCTTCGAATCGAGTTGCATCGAATCGAATCGAAAATCTTTTGAATCGAATCGTTGCTTCGAATCGAAAATTTCTTGCTGCTTCGCACACCCCTAAAATCCACCAATGATTGGGTGTGAACGGCTCAGTTGGCAGAGCCTTAGACTTTGGGTCCAAGGAAATGATGTCATGGATTATGATGTATAAGCACAAAACAGCTGTAGTCTTAACAAAGTAAAAAGGATCGATTCGACGGTAACAAGGTGATTTAAAGAACTATATCATTCAATACACAAACTAAGCAAACATTCTGAGGGGCAAAATTAATGGATAAAATGTGTAGACAACTTCTAAAACCGTGGGTACCTCTTTACGTAGCCGTCTCTTGCGGTGGCGATACAGCATTTCTCTGTAAGCGTCGTCTGTGATGTCAAAAGGGTTGTGGCTGGGAGTAACCCTCTGCTCTAGGTCCAGACCAGAAGGTTTACTGGCCAAGGTGGACACTACAGGAGCCCGATCGGGACTCAACGAGTTCTCCAGACTTGACAACTGCTTCTTCTGTTTCTTGTTCAACGCAGCAGGAGGGCCTTCTGGAAAAATTATAAAATTCGATACTTCTAGACAAATAACTCAAACGAGGATGCTAAACAGGAGGTATTTAAAACCAAATATTTTAGAGTTATAAAAATTTGTATAGCTGAAGCTTATGTGCCGTTTTACTAATCCTTGGTATTTTAAAAAGCTTAATGTATTGGATATAAAAGAGAAACCAAATTTCAGGCCACATATAGCTGTAACCAGCTCACTTTAAGTACACCCTGGAAAAAAACACAAAAAACTTCACGGAAAAATGTAAAAATATTTACTCTTTACTGTCTTCACAATCAGGAGTGATGCTGCACTAAAGAGATTTCCTCGACGTTGGGTGTGTAGTAGTACACTTGTCTTATTGGAAAAAAATATAAACAAAATATTTAGCCTCTGGCTGGATCACGTTTTCACAAGAAAAAGGTTACCTGCTGTAGCCTCAGACCAAGGTTTCTTTTCTAAAAATTGTGGCTTATAGCCTATCTATAGTGTAAAAGTTTATGGCCTTGAGTACGACTTGAGCGGCAACCTGAGCGGCGGTGATGGCTACGATACAAGCGGCACATTTATGACGCTCATCAAATTTCCCCCGGTGTAGGAGTAGGTTTAGTTGAAAAGGGCAATCTGTGATGACCCGCAAGAAGTATTTAAAATATTGTTGTTATCCCACAATTCTCTATTAAGGAAAACTTAGTTCCCACTTCGTCCCATAGTTTTTGGTGACTGTAGTGTTTTAAAATATTCGAGCAGGTAGCAAACACAAACACAAACAATCACTGGAAATCTGTGAAATATTCTAGCTTTAGCGTGTAGAGCGTTAAGTTTTTTGTGTTTCTTGTACCAGAGCAGTCCTTTATTAATTTAGTTATGTCTACATTAATCTACACAAAAATCCTTAAAACCACTCCAGTACAAACTTACAACTCCAGTACAACTTGCATATCACAATTATAAATATTTCCACTTTCTAAGCTACATACCTGGATAGTTTTCATCCTCAGAGCTTTGACTAGTGTCTCCGACCTCCTCCTTCACTGCAGCCAGCTCCTGGAAGTACCTCCGTCTGACCCTCTGGTGGATGGGTGATGGTCGAGGGGGGGCCGACGTCAGTTTCTCCTGTCTCAACACACTGCCAGGGCCAGCCTTGGAGGCAGTCTCTAGCAACCTGAGTCTGGACACTAGTAGAGACTTCATCAGGGAGAAGTAATACCTCCTCTGCTGATTGCTTGGAAAACATAGCACAAAGAGGTTAGAAACACAAAAATACAAGGCTAGATCAAGGTTTTGATATGAATTGAGCCAAATAAAGTTTTGTAGGATCATTATCAGCTAAAGTTGTCCAAAATTATTAAAACAATGAACATACATTATTTAAGGAATTCGGAAAAGAAATTTTTTTTACAAACAGTTTAAATATAAATCTAGAAACAATATGTTAAAAAGTGAGTCAGCTAAAAATATTTAGCCTATCCAGTATGCTGGAGAATACCCCCACCCCCAGGCCCCCTGATTAAAACTATATTTTTTGTGATATTGCATCATTAATATCATTAACAAACTAAGCAGGAAAACAAAAATACTTTTCATGTAATGTTAATCTCTCAAAATGACTTCCAGCTTGTTTCAATTCTGCAAATGTAAATAAGCAGTAAATAATGTTCAGTAAGTGATTCAATCATTTTGTCTGTTACGATTGTGTTACTTACTGTACATTACACCATCAATGTCAAATTAATTGTTGACAAGATACAACAATAAGCTAAAACATAACTTACATAATAAGTAAATTGATAAATAATTTCAATCCATGCGATTGCTACACAATCAAAATTTACAACTGTTACAAACAGCTAGTTTTTACCCCCAAGTGACTGAAAAGGCTCCCGAGGGTGTTAAAATGCTACTTTAGACTCACAACGTAGGCCTATGTAAAAAAAAAAAAAAACACTGTTTTTGCTGCAGCATGACAAAAAATAATTTTTTTTACCATCAGCTGAAGAGTCATTAGCATTTTTTTTCTAGTGTACCAGGAACATTCAAATTTCAACCAGGATGCAGAAAATGTAAAAAAATGTCTTTTTAAGTTTAATCTTAATGTGTAATACCTTCAAATATAAGTTCTTACCTATATTCCCTATACTGGGCTTTCTTGATCAACTTCCTCATAGTTCTTATATCCGGCCGAAAGTTACCAGATTTAAGCTGATCAAAGAAATCTACTAGAGGGTTCCCAAATCTCATGTTTTTACGGGAAAATAATAATTCCAAAGTCTTTTCTTTTTCACCAGCGTCATTTCTAGGAAACGATGGCAGGAAATTCTAAAATAGAAAATTATATTAAATAGGCCTAGCTTTATTTATTTGGAACTACTCATTATTCTATCGGTTCTGCATACATAAAACAGGGAGGGTTGTAAATGAACCCTTGATCATAGATAACTAACACAATGGTTCATTATTTACTGTACAGCAAGCAATCTGTTCTATCCAATGTTATTTTTTTAGAAAACATTAATTTTGAAGCTGAAATCAGAAATCAGAAACATTTATTGCCGAAAACATTACAAAAATGTATAGGCCATCGTCAGGTACAATTTATAGCAAACATGAATTGCTTGTCTTAAGATAACAACCATTATCAATAAGAAGCAGTCTTTAAATCGTCTGATTTCTTCTAAACTAGTGAAAGAAATTTACGGTTTTGGTTTCTAACAGAAAACTAAACTGAAATCATCTGTACTAAACCCTGATCAAGGATTTTAAAAAGTGCATTTCCCTAATATTATGGTGGCAGTTTGAACCATGGAAAATCAAATTAGCCTATTTAAAAGTTAAGAAGCAGTCTTTAAATCGTCTGATTTCTTCTAAACTAGTGAAAGAAATTTACGGTTTTGGTTTCTAACAGAAAACTAAACTGAAATCATCTGTACTAAACCCTGATCAAGGATTTTAAAAAGTGCATTTCCCTAATATTATGGTGGCAGTTTGAACCATGGAAAATCAAATTAGCCTATTTAAAAGTTAATCAATAGAAGTTTTATGGGCAGTCCAGATTCTATGTAAAAAAGTGAAAAATATTAAACAGGGACTAAGTTAATTTTAAGTAAGCTCGAGAAAGGTGGATTTTTTGCCATGATTTGACAGTTAAACATATTTAATTTAAATGGTTACAGAGAATTTTTAAGGAAGAAGGAGGGGGGGGGGTTGAAAATGTGAAATTGATGGTAGAGAAAATCAAAGATTAGATAAGCACAATTACCAATAAGCATCGTAAAGGATTAATATAAATCCTTGATTTACAACGTTGGGATGAACAACAGGTTTTGCCACATTATTATTAGCCTATACCTTACAATTTATACCCTAAATAAGTTAAGTCAAAAATATTAAATATTTAAAAAAAATTGTACAATAGGCCTAGCCCTAACAAATGTAAAGAAAAACTTTGTTCAACTAACTAAGAATGTGAACAAATTAACACATCACATGCCGGTGGTGTTTTTTTTTTATTATAAGTCAATAAGTGTACAGTAGGCTAGGTAAATGATTTAATATTTATTAATAGATACACATACCATTAAATGTTGTCGCTGCTCTTCAGAAAACAGATTCCAAGTATCCTTGGAGAGGACTTCATTAAAAGCCTGACGGTCTTCACACAGGCCCTGAGGTATTTGCAAATGGGTTCCACACAGATTCACCTCTTCAAGCCTGTGAGGAGACTCCGAGCCTTCGGAATCCGATGACTCTGTTTCATCCGAAGATGACCAATTGCTTTGGGCCAAGTTATTCATGTCGCCCCAAAAAATCTCAGACTCCATGTTCATGCAGGGTTATCATCAGTGCACTGAAAAAAATAATAGTTTTACAAATAAGGCAATGGCTATGATTTGTTTTGAGCCAACAAATTATTTTTATTAAAATTTAAATAAGAGTTAGGATAGTCATAATTAACTTAACTGATTAGCTGATTATGCTGATTAGCATACTGTACTGTATATTCTAGGACATAAGGCCTAGATAATATTTTAGAACCTAAGAAAACATTTTTAAATTTAAAGAAGTTTTTAAATGAAAAAAAAACTGTACATTGACAAACAGCTTAAAGGATAAAGGTAAAGGGGGTTTTTGATTTGTTTTATTGCTTCACAATGGTAATTAAAAAATATTATCATTATGCATGAAAAATATGTTCATTATGCATGTTCCCTACCTAACGAGTTCTTGGTACATCAGCTAAATACTAGGCTTAAATTATGAAATAATTTCTAGATTATGAATGAGCCCTAAACAAGTAAAACAAATGATAAGGCCTACAGTTTACTTGCCAAGGACAGCCTTGTTACCGTACCAAAAACATTTAATGCAGTACCTAGGGGAGTGGGGACCATACAAACAAAGACATTCAGTGTTTTAACCCTCCGAGTGTTATGTGTCGTAAAAGCGACTCATAACACATCCGCTGTAGTGTTATGTGTCGCTTTTGCGACTCACAAACACTGTTTACGGCGACGGCTCTGGGACTGACTGAATCGGATTTAACTGGATCGAGTTAGGTATCGTTTTTTTCAGCAGATTCAGAGCTTTCTCCTGATGTCTGTCTCTATACGCTTTTCATTTTAGTTCCCAAAATATTGTAGCAGACAGCTGACGTGCGTATTTGTAAACAGCTTGGTTAACCTCGCACCGATGACTGGTGTGTTTTATTATGTTTATCATTGTTTTAGTGTTAAAATCAAAAGTAGTGATATACGTGGTGCATTATAAGAAGATTTAAGTGATTTTGAAGGGCTGGTTGATGATCCTGAAGAAGTAGGTAGTTTGATATTGATGTAAATTATCAGCCAGATTCCTAGCTATGGTTAGGCTATGCATTCTTAGCTAAACGCTATGTACCGAAATCTGTTTTTTGCCCATAACTTATTTATTTGCAAACCTACTTCCTTATAATTATATTTTTGGAATCTTCATAAAATCCTGAACAAAGTGGCTATTTTAAAATATTTGTAGACCTACATGGTGTCTACTAAACCTGGTTTGAAAAATTCAAGGAGTTTTCCAGAAGAATTCAAGACAAATTCCTGAATTTTAAGGAGCTACTATCGGAACCCGTTTAACTAATCGCAACCCGCTAATAAATGAAAATGATTATTATTAGGCTATTATTATTATTAATAATAATGATTATTATTATTTGAAACAAAACATTTCCAAAGAATAATATTTTATACAACATAATAAAACAATATAACTGGTAGGTAAGGCGACACCAGTTATCATCTCCCGCGATTGTGGGAATATCAGTGAGCATATCTTGCAGTATCTTCAACACCAGCGACAAAACGTCACACCGTCAACGATCACGGCAACACCCGTATGCATATTTTGCGGTTTGGGCGACACCGATAACCGTCTCTCGCGATTGCGGCAATACCCGTAGGCATATCTTGCGGTTTCGGCAACACCGATAATCGTCTACCGCGATCGCGGCAATAGCCGTGAGGAAATCTCGCGGGTTCGGCGACACCGATAATCGTCTCCCGTGATCGCGGCAACACCCGTGGGCATATCTCGTGGTTTCGGCGACACCGATAATCGTCTCTCGCGATCGCGGCAATATCCGTGAGCATATCTTGCGGTTTTGGCGACACCGATAATCGTCTCTCGCGATCGCGGCAATACCCGCGTGAGCATATCTTGCGGTTTCGGCAACACCGATAATCGTTTCCCGCGATCGCGGCAACACCCGTAGGCATCTCACGTGGTTTCGTCGACACCGATAATCGTCTCTCGCAATCGTGGCAATACTCGTGAGCATATCTTGCGGTTTTAGCAACACCGATAATCGTTTCCCGCGATCGCGGAAACGCCCGTAGGCATCTCACGTGGTTTCGGCGACACGGATAATCGTCTCTCGCGATCGCGGCAATACCCGTGAGCATATCTTGCGGTTTCGGCAACACCGATAATCGTCTCCCGCGATCATTATCGGTGTCGACGAAACCACGTGAGATGCCTACGGGCGTTGCCGTGATCGCGGGAGACGATTATCGGTGTTGCCGAAACCGCAAGATATGCTCACGCGGGTATTGCCGCGATCGCGAGAGACGATTATCGGTGTTGCCGAAACCGCAAGATATGCTCACGCGGGTATTGCCGCGATCGCGAGACCCGTTAGCATATCTTGCGGTTTTAGCAACACCGATAATCGTTTCCCGCGATCGCGGCAACACCCGTTAGCATATCTTGCGGTTTTAGCAACACCGATAATCGTTTCCCGCGATCGCGGCAACACCCGTAGGCATATCTCGTGGTTTCGGCGACACCGATAATCGTCTCTCGCGATCGCGGCAATACCCGCGTGAGCATATCTTGCGGTTTCGGCAACACCGATAATCGTCTCTCGCGATCGCGGCAATACCCGCGTGAGCATATCTTGCGGTTTCGGCAACACCGATAATCGTCTCCCGCGATCACGGCAACGCCCGTAGGCATCTCACGTGGTTTCGTCGACACCGATAATCGTCTCTCGCAATCGTGGCAATACTCGTGAGCATATCTTGCGGTTTTAGCAACACCGATAATCGTTTCCCGCGATCGCGGAAACGCCCGTAGGCATCTCACGCGGTTTCGGCGACACCGATAATCGTCTCTCGCGATCGCGGCAATACCCGTGAGTATATCTTGCGGTTTCGGCAACACTAGTAATCGTCTCCCGCGATCACGGCAATACCCGTTAGCATATCTTGCGGTTTTAGCAACACCGATAATCGTTTCCCGCGATCGCGGCAACACCTGTAGGCATATCTCGTGGTTTCAGCGACACCGATAATCGTCACTCGCGATCGCGGCAATACCCGTGAGCATATCTTGCGGTTTCGGCAACACCGATAATCGTCTACCGCGATCGCGGCAATAGCCGTGAGGAAATCTCGCGGGTTCGGCGACACCGATAATCGTCTCCCGTGATCGCGGCAACACCCGTGGGCATATCTCGTGGTTTCGGCGACACCGATAATCGTCTCTCGCGATCGCGGCAATATCCGTGAGCATATCTTGCGGTTTTGGCGACACCGATAATCGTCTCTCGCGATCGCGGCAATACCCGCGTGAGCATATCTTGCGGTTTCGGCAACACCGATAATCGTTTCCCGCGATCGCGGCAACACCCGTAGGCATCTCACGTGGTTTCGTCGACACCGATAATCGTCTCTCGCAATCGTGGCAATACTCGTGAGCATATCTTGCGGTTTTAGCAACACCGATAATCGTTTCCCGCGATCGCGGAAACGCCCGTAGGCATCTCACGTGGTTTCGGCGACACCGATAATCGTCTCTCGCGATCGCGGCAATACCCGTGAGCATATCTTGCGGTTTCGGCAACACCGATAATCGTCTCCCGCGATCACGGCAATACCCGTTAGCATATCTTGCGGTTTTAGCAACACCGATAATCGTTTCCCGCGATCGCGGCAACACCCGTAGGCATATCTCGTGGTTTCGGCGACACCGATAATCGTCTCTCGCGATCGCGGCAATACCCGCGTGAGCATATCTTGCGGTTTCGGCAACACCGATAATCGTCTCTCGCGATCGCGGCAATACCCTCGTGAGCATATCTTGCGGTTTCGGCAACACCGATAATCGTCTCCCGCGATCACGGCAACGCCCGTAGGCATCTCACGTGGTTTCGTCGACACCGATAATCGTCTCTCGCAATCGTGGCAATACTCGTGAGCATATCTTGCGGTTTTAGCAACACCGATAATCGTTTCCCGCGATCGCGGAAACGCCCGTAGGCATCTCACGTGGTTTCGGCGACACCGATAATCGTCTCTCGCGATCGCGGCAATACCCGTGAGTATATCTTGCGGTTTCGGCAACACTAGTAATCGTCTCCCGCGATCACGGCAATACCCGTTAGCATATCTTGCGGTTTTAGCAACACCGATAATCGTTTCCCGCGATCGCGGCAACACCCGTAGGCATATCTCGTGGTTTCAGCGACACCGATAATCGTCACTCGCGATCGCGGCAATACCCGTGAGCATATCTTGCGGTTTCGGCAACACCGATAATCGTTTCCCGCGATCGTGGCAACAAAAGCGGTAGTGTTTCGGTTAGGCGACGATTCCGATGACTGGGCTACGGATTCCCGGAGGTTTGGGTGGATTCCTGGAGTTTTCCAGGACATTTCAAGGTAAGATAAAATTCCCGGAGGTTTCCCGGTTTTCCCGAGTTTCTCGGAGAGTAGACACCATGACCTATAAATTATAACAATTTATTGAGCGCAAACATAAATTTTTTCATTTATTTTATAATTTTTGAGAAATGTTAACCCCACAAAAATTGTTGAACATTTTTTTTGTAATGTTTTATATGTTACATCGAAGCCCATAATTTTCCAAACAAAATTATATATAAAACAGTATACTTTACATTGTTTTCAAGTTTCTAAGATACATTTTAATAAAACCCCGCGATTGCGCAATAAATGGGCGAACATTAAGATCAAAACTAGAGACACTTGGAGGGTTAAACAATATGTTTTTAAAAATCTTTTCTGGTCAGGCCCATCAGAAATAACTAAAGAACAAGTACGGTACTTACTTATAAATTGCCTTATAAATTGTAGGTATTACCGTACCGGTAATTAAAATAATTTTATTAAAATGGGAAATACCTAATCTGAAATTTTAAGGTCTAATAATTCTGTGGAATTCCAGCCAGGTAAATGGAAATTTGCTTAGCCTGCAGGTTTGCGGCGGCGGGGGTATTAGTCCTAATTTGGACAAATGTAGGCCTATTACCCCACCCACGTCCCTAATTCTTAATACATTTCTCCTGATTATTTAATGTGCCTCGTGCAACTCAAGCATTTTATTTCCAACCTGTGAATGAAGTAGATGTAAAAAAGGTCATATGTAACTTAAAGAATTCCAAAGCATTAGACTTCTACGGAATGTCAAATTTTGTCATTAAAAGTGTTGGTGATATTATAGCGACACCGCTGGTCATTGCCACTAACCTATGTTTTGAAGAAGGAACTTTTCCTGATTTATTAAAGATTTATAAAATAACTCCAATCCATAAGAAGGGTGACAAGAAAAACCCTGCAAATTATAGGCCAGTCTCGTTGGTTCCTGCCCTGTCAAAGGTGTTAGAAAACATAATTTTTCGTCAGGTAAGTGACCATTTTGAGGCTTTGGGCCTTCTTTCTGAATCACAATTCGGTTTTAGGAGGTTGCGCAGCACCACCGACGCTGTTGGGGCGTTGATTGCTAAAATACATGATGTTCTTGAGGGCGGAGGCTTTGCTTGGGTCACCTTCTGCGACCTTAGCAAGGCCTTCGATTGCGTCGACCATCGGATGCTTTTGGGCAAGATACAGCACTACGGAGTCGGTGGGGCTGCCCTTAACCTATTAAATTCTTACTTAAGCAACCGAAGACTAGTGGTTTGTATCAAGGGCGAGCGGTCAGCTATGTCTAATGTAGTATGCGGAGTCCCGCAAGGGTCCATACTTGGGCCGTTTCTATTTTTAGTATCGATAAATGATTTGCCTAATAATGTTCTCTGTGATACCTATTTATACGCTGATGACTCGACCTTTCTTGTGCATGGTTCTGATATAGATTTATTAAGTTTGCATGTTAAAGATGTAGTTGGTAACATTTCAGACTGGTTTGCAGCAAACTCTTTTCTCTTGAACAACGAAAAAACAAAATCTATCATATTTAGCTTAAGAAAAGTACCTGATGTTTTTGATTCACAAGATTATGTTAAGTTTTTGGGTGTTTTGATTGATAAACAGTTAACCTGGTCACAGCAGATTGATCAACTAACAAATAGGCTTTCAAGAATTGTTTTCTTGTTCTCTAGATTAGTGCAGCTATGTTCCTTTTGATTATGTAAAATCTGCTTATTTTGCGTTATTCCAGTCAATTGCTTCATATGGTTTAATTTATTATGGTAGCTCTCCTAAAATCCACGAGGTACTTCTATCTCAGAAAAAAATCATCAGAATAATGTGTAAAGAGGATAGTGAAGCACACGGTAAACCCCTTTTTATTGAATTAAAAATATTGACCATCATTAACTTATACATTTATCAATTATTATTGTTTACTTTTAAGAATAGCTTTAAATACAAAATGAGAAATGAAGTGCACAGTATTAGTACCAGAAACTGCAAAAAGATTGATCTGCCTCAGGTACGGTTGGAAAAAAACAAGATCTGGTTATGTTGTGATGGGTATCAGGCGATTAAATAAATTACCTCTGGCTGTGACAGATTTAGACTTTAAGAATTTTAACAAAAGGCTGTTTTTATTTTTAGTAAACAACCCACTCTACCGTATCGAAGATTTTTTTAGCATGTCTGATAAGTTAATAAAAAATATTTGAAATAGGATGTAGGCTAACTGTGATTTAGATATAAGTTGTACGATTTTTTAATTTATTACTGTCAAATTTTTAATCTCTTGCCATGGTCTGTAACTTTTGTATTTATTTGCTCGTCGCTCAATTTCAATTTTAACTCTCGTATTATATTGACTGTATCAACTGAATTCCTTGTTATTTATATATTTATACATTTATTTACTCAAGACTGAATACGAGATGTATTTACCAACATTTTGACCAATCTATGCATTACATATGTAAAAAATGATGAATAAATGTCTTATGTCTTATTCAATATACACATACCATTTCCGCAACATTTGTGTCCGAGATTTAAGCTAGTATCTATAACTTATAAGACGTTCATCCCATCCTAATAGGCTACTTATTTATATAGCCTAGTCCATAAATAGGGCCTAAGTAACAGAAATCAGTAACAAACTTACCATTTTCATTATTTATTTCTAGATAGGCTTTAAAATGTGTTTCATGGGAATAAAACACGAATAAGTTCATTTCAATTTCTTGAAGTAGAACCAAACATGAAAATCATATACCATCTTGTAAAAACTGCTCATAAGTTTAATCCTGAAACAAAATTAAGTTCTTTAATCACTTGTTAAGTACCTAAATTTGTTTTCGCCTCACTGCTTTAAAGTCAGCAGCTGCTTTCTGCACAGCCTACGGCTATGTAACTTAAGTTAGGCTACTGTAGTTACTCTGTAAGTTATTTCAGTCATGAAAAAACAGTCTGTACTTAAACTTAAGTTAGGTAAAAAATGATAAAACTTAGAGGTTAATTAACTTAAAAAGCTACCATAAACTTTATCTCTTTTATTTATCTTATTTAAAAAAAAAAAATTAAACTTCATACAGTAAGTTAACGAATATCTGCATTGTGCAAGTTTTTCGATGGGGTCCATTTATAAAAGTTTTGCCGACTTAGAAGTCAATAACTTAGGCCTAACTTACGCCTGACGTGTAGCCTACGTTAAGTTAGTTTTAGAACATCACAAGATGTCTAAAAAACAGCAACCAAGAATGAACACAATTATTTGAGGGTGTACGTTGGGCCTACTTTAACCTTGGCCATAGGCTAACCTTTTAACCATGGGCTTAAGTTACTTACAGTAAGTTAACTTAAGCCTAACTTGGGTGAAAGTTAAAAACCAAGAGACCTAAATTTAGAGAAGACTAGGTAGCCTATTCCAAATTACATTAAATAGAGATATCCCTTAGTACGGGATAGGTCAAGACAAAGAAACACTTAACAGGGCAGACTAGGCCTAGGCTGAACCGATTAGGGTTTGTTTTGATTATTAGCTGTCAAAGCATTGATAAGTGGGGGTTAGCTTTATCAGTGCACTTGCGATGCAGAAATTGGTCCAAAAGAACTAACAAGCAACCTGAATTATATAAATAACACATAGCTTGGTCAGACTTTGTTTGATTATCCTATTTTAAGAAATCTTGTGCGAGTTAACGAATCTAAAGGGCATTTAATATCATAATATCCCAACGTTCAGGGGGAAGATACCGGATTGTTGGAAAATGAGGGATGGTGAAAATTATTGTGGTACAGCAAAAAGTATTTTTGTACTTACTTTTGGTCACAGTATTGAATCAAGTTTTATCTAAATTCAGAGTCCACCTCAAATGGATACCCCGTTCTGCATTGCAGATAAAATAGGATCTATTGGTGGAGGACATAGCGGACGGAACAAGAACCATGATGATTATTGTTGACAAGCGGAACGGCTGCGGACTTTCATTTTGAAACTTTGGACAAAGGGAACGTATATGTATTAAACTGCAATCATTAAAATACCAGTTACAGTATTAGGGAATTGCGTGGTGAAATATCACTGAGTTTAAAACATTGCAAAGGAAGAGATTATTATTGATTTTGAATGGTACCAGTGCTTACCATGGTGGAACCTTCCACCATGATTGCTTACACTACTGTCTCTGTACTTAATATTTCCTTAAACATGATAGATTTATGCCCCATTTAAAAATAACATTAAATTGCAATGAGTACTTAGACTTGCTGCTACAGGGGAATGAAAAAGTTTTTTTGATCAAATCTTAGCAAGCCGGACCATGCCGAACAGTATGAAATACATACATAATTTTGCCAAATTTTGTGAAATATTCATAAACAAGCAAACTTACAACCATTATAACTAAGTTTTTTTTAATCTCTCTACAAATCTCCCTACAGGGAAGTAGCTATTCCCGTTGGTCTCATGGTAAGACTTGAGCCCGGGACCGATTTACTTATTCAATTTTGATATCCCCAAAGGAAAAAAAACAGGATTGTAACAGCTGTTTTGCTTGGAAGCAGCTAATGGTATTATTTGTGTATTTACGAAAGCTTGGTAACTGGACTATGAAAATATTGACTCCGCTTTAAATGAACAGATTTAAATTTTTAATGTATAGGCTATTGTTTTGGTTTTAAATTCCGTGTGTTTTATTCTCAATATTTTAATAAATTTATGTTCATAAATTTAAATTTAAATCAATAAAGTACCGTACGTACCAATGAGCTCAAATCACCTGTCTGCCATGTTATCTTATTGGACGTCTAACACTCAACAACCCCATGGAGGAAGGCCTTCCACCATGAAACAACCCTACTTGCAACGTTGCCAATTCTACCAGGCCGCTGCCGTTAAAGGTGACCGTGCCAAAAACACTATTCGTTCAAATTTAACGCGATAACTTGAGTAATTTTTGTTCGATTTTGATTAAATTTGGTTTGAAGGTGTAAGGTGAGATAAACTTGAATGAGTTCGTGAACCAGCATGATCGGACAATGGTAATAAATAATGGGGTAGTATAGCATAACCCCCATAAATGCGTCTTGGGGGTTATTTACAACTCAAATAGTAAATAAAGGCTCTGACTTAGGGGAGGTACGAATGAGGCATTAGTTCAAAATTCCTCCGTGAACAGCGCTGTAGTAGAGAGTACTTTGGCAAAGAAGGTTTACTAATCGCAAAAATAGTTCTGTTCATAAAATAAAATTATAAATGCCTCAAATTCAATTTTATTATTTTTTAATTATATCATAACCTAACCGAGCTAACCAAACTTGCTGATAATGAAATAATATAACAAAAGTTTATTAATAGAAAAAATAATTCTGTTTATTAAATAAAACTAGAAATTGCTCTACTAAAATTTTATAATGACTTAATAATAAAATTAAACTGTCATAACCGAACCAAACCAACCAAACTTGCTGATAATAAAAAAATCTTGGACAAAAAGTTAATGCCATGAGCGGGATTTGAACCCGGTACCTTTAGCATATCAGCCTGGCACGCTAACCATTAGACCACCGAGGCCGATGACTGATGACTACTGATCGTTTTGTTACGGTAATGGCGTTCCCTCAGCTAATAAGAAGCCCACAGCTGTCATCGTAGCCTCTTCTATACCTCCCCTGAGTAAATACCGTAAATAAATGTACTCAACGCGTTTCATTGAATTGAAAAATAAATAACAGCAATTAAATTATACAGCTGATCAAAATGTAAACAATTATGTTCTTCAAAAGGATAACATGGGAACTTTCAAAGCCACTGGGGCAGAGCCCAAGGGACTTTTTCAAAAATGTAAGCCAGTTTGCAAATCTACGCGACGGGCTCTTTCCAATGAGACGTCAATTGATAAAATCGGTTAAGAAATGGCGGAGGAGTTCAACCGACAAAGTTTCAAGTAGAGTATTAATTATATAGATTAAAAAAACTACTAGTGAACCTGTGCGGCTCAACGCCCCGCAAAATAACATATGAATTTAGAAAACAAATTCAAAGCACTTCCATGAATACTACGATTCTAGCCTTAAAGTTACCTTCAGGAAGATTAGTCAGAGTTTTCCGTTACGAATATGCGTATCCTATTAAAAGATGTATAGCCTTACTTAAAACAACATATAATATAGTTGCTCATGACTGAAATTAGTCTGGGTAAGAACAGTGCTGCAAATGCCAAAGGTAACAGAAATTAGCATCTTTCCATTTTAAAAGGTAAGTTTGTTTCAGACGGGTAAATTTTTATCCTCGAAATCAAAATACGTCCCCACTCACTTGTTCCCTTAAGACTTTACATTATATTAAGTTGTTAACCATTCTGCTCACATGAAGCCTTGTGCCATTAATAAGGCCCTTTTTGATGTATTAATATTCCTCATCAATAAAACCACTGCCCCCTTTTATTATTATAATCTGTGTCTTGGCAATCCACTGACCTCAATATTTAAAAACTCAGTTGGATTTTCTAGATGGTTGTCTCCGCCTTCGTCTGTTTTCAAGGACCAACTCTTCTTCCCCTTGGTATACTGATAATTAATTACCTTACTTGTCAAGTTCATGTAGTAATTCATTAATGCTGTTAGTTTATAAAGAAAATATGATAAAAGTTACTTGGCTTGGTGCTTTCATAACTGCAAACTCAAAATACACCCACAAGTAAAAAAGGATCAAGATATTGGTTAAAAAAAACTATGTTTGTGTAATACAGTAACCTTATTCACATGAAGTAGATGATTTGTCGATCAGCTGTTTAGTTTCAAATGAATTAATGATGTCAAAGATTTGCGATTTAAATACATAAATTATTGTAGTAAAGTTTTCTAATTCATGGTAACTTATTCTCCACTAAATTTTACTATTCCCAGCATTTTAAATAAAGTAGTAAGATCCATTATGGGTAAACTTTAAGGTACACAATCCTTGATTGAAATGTAGTAGGTATACATTAAAAGTCATAATACACAGCAATTATTATGTAGTAGACTTTGACTATTTTCAAGTAACAAACATATGTTTCTGTAAATAAAAACTATCTCCCATGTTATCCTTATGGAGGAATACGAAACTTTAAAGGGCTCCAGGGCCTCAATCTCTCATTATTTCCCTAAAAAGAAAGTTTCCTGCACAACTTCACGTTACGCTCTTTCCAATGTCACCAAAAACATGTCAATCGGTTAAGTAGTTTCGGAGGAGTAATTGTCACAAAAAATCTGCTTGCGTATTAAATAAGTACGAGAGGTCGTCCAGTGGTCGAAACTCGACCAAAAATACGTAATGTACTCACTTATCTATTTTCACCCCACACTGTAAATAAAACATGTGATTTGAGTTTCTTCCATTTGTTTTGGTTTTCTGTTTATATTTCGTTGTTATTTTCGTTACCAGCATGGCAACGCATAAGATCCATGTTAATATTTTCAAATTTTTAAACTCATTTTTTGTGCTTATCTTTGAGCCTATTTAAATTTATAAAGGGATTCTGCACACCTACAGGAAAATAGTTTTCTAACGGTATGCGTAGATTTTCCCTACGATGAACACGAGCTGAGAAAAAAGGTTTTAAAGAAACATGCTTGCCTATTAATATATAGATAGATAGATAGATAGATAGATTTATTAGCCTCCCTGTAGTAGCAAACCTAGGTACTCGTTTAACCTAATGTTATTTAAATCTATATATTAATTTGAAACTGTTTTTCTTTGTCACAGCTATTTTGAGAGAACGGCTGGGCGTAGAAACTCGGTAGAGGTGTCTAAAGAAAGGTCTTGGTCTGTAGATGAGCCATCAAAAGAGAAACATGGTGAATTCCCTTGGGGCTCTGCCCCCGTGGCCTTTAAATTCCCATCCCATGTTATTCTTATGGAGGAAAACGGGGTTTTTGTCACAGCTAATTTGACAGAACGGTTGGGCGTAGAAACTTGGTAGGGGTCTCTGAAGAAAGGTCTTGGTCTGTAGATGAGCCATCAAAAGAGGAAAGAGGTAAATTCCCTTGGAGCTCTGCCCCAGAAGCCTTTAAAGTTGCCTCTTCAGATTTGTTTACATTACGACCATATGCATAATTCTACACTACTTTTTAATGCAACAGCTGTTAATATTTAAATTGTGATTTATTGAATTTGTCAAAATGAAGTACAGTATTTGCAATGGATTTTTCTGATTTTAAAATTGATTTTCTTCTGCATCGTGTCATGTTTTGCAATATAATGTTCTATTACCAAATCAGTGGAAAATCCTAATATCAGCACAGTAACTTTTAAAATTATTTTTTATGGAGTTAACTTATATCTATTGTATGGGTTGGTTTCTGCCTTTTTTTTACCACTTCTTGGAGATTGTACGTAGGTGAAATTCTTTGGCATATTGAATCTGTAGACGAAACTTGGGTTGGTGTAATTATTACAATGGAAAAGAGCGAGAAATCCTGGACAATTTGATATAGGCTAAAAATAAAACCGAATAAAACTGAACTGAACACTGTGCTACATTTCTTGAGCAATCATTGAAATAACCGATTTGCAAACAATGGAAACATAGAAAAAGTCATAGAACACAACCAAGTAGAAGAAATAGAAATAACGTTTTTTTACCCTAAAAACACTAAAAAAACAAGATCAGCTTTTTGAAAAAAGATAAGATATTTACAAAAGATTTTTATTATATCCAACTGTTGTGTAGATCGTGAGTATTTCCACAATCTTTGAGTCACCTGTAATGCTTCGCAATTGCTCGAATTCGAGCAACAGGTACACTAGTAGGATTTAATTGTATATCAATTCAGGCAAATGGAAATTCGCTGATTCTGCAAGTTTGCTGAGGCCGGTTACTATTAGTTCATATAAATGATATTTGGTCAAAGACATTTTTAA